GCCCAGCGACGACACCAGATACCAGGTCTGAGGCGCACACCATACCTCAAAGTGCTGCTGGTCCGATGCGACGACAGCGACACGTACAAGTCCAAGACGCGGTCCGAGATACGAGAGTGGATCAAGGAACACACGCCTCCCTCCCAGTCCACGCGGAAGGCGAACACGCAAGAGAACCATGATGCCTTCGAATGGCTGGTTGTACACGTCGTCATCCCCAATACGGCCGCCGCAAACCAACCACGAGTCAGCGGCAAGGGACCCGATGCTGCCGAGAAGTCGAGGACGTCCAGATGGGGATCGGGTTCCTCAACCCTCCTGGAGAAGCTCCGATCCGACTTCAACAGCTCCAGCAAAAGCTCGCCGGACCGTATTGCACAGATACGCATAGGTATCAATGATGTGCCGTACGATATCCTGCCTCGCGTCGTGCCCGCCACACCGACTGGCTATTCCGAATCCCGCCAAGACGCAGAGAATGCTTGGGAAGACCTCATTGGCAAGTTCAAGGAGCTGATACTCTCCTCATTCGATATGCGAGTGACACAGTATGAAGATGATATCAAGGAGAAGGACTCGCAAAGAGCTCTTCCGGGGTGGAACTTCTGTACTTTCTTCATTTTGAAAGAGGGCCTGGCCCGTGGCTTCGAAAGTGTAGGCTTGGTCGAGGATGCGCTGGTTGGCTACGATGAACTTAGTGTCGGATTGGACACTGTCATCCAGGAACAAGCGACTTCAGGTGACGCCGAGAGGCACGGAGGATCTCTTCTGGACCACACCGAGGATTTGGTCAAGCGAGCGGAAGCTGCTGTTCAGGCTCTCGGTGCCGCCGAAGGGTCTGAGGAGGACGACGAGCCAGTTGACTTGCAAGCTTCAGATGCGCCCAAGAACGAGAAGTTCGACGAGATCCCTATCAGTTCTACAAAGAAGCCATATCGGGAAATGATAGTGGCCAACAACGTATCAGTATTCGACTTCCGCTGTTATATATTTGCCAGACAAATTTCGTTGCTCCTTCGCCTCGGCAATGCCTGGTCGACTCGCGAGGAGCTTCTAGCCAAGCTAAGGGAGCAACAGGAATCCGTCCTACACGGCGTGGCCCCTCAGGCGCCACCGCCCAAGCAGACCGAAGATGTTGAGAACTTGTCAATGCTGGCCGAAATCTGCCGCAGGACGCTGGAATTCGTCCCTGCCGTGTCCCAGGTCATGAGGACTGATATCTTGTCTGCGCTGAAAGCCAAGCATTCAGGCGACTCGCCCCTTCTGAGCCCAGTCTTGTCTGAGGCAATCGACAACCTCGTGGCTTCCTTCGCTTTCTCTGTTGCTCAGCAGATTCTTGCCCAGACTTCCACCAAGGCGCTGCCCATCCCCCCATCAACACTCGGCAACGCAGGCACTCACGAGCAGAAGGCATCAATCCCTGAGCTTAAGACCATGATGCACCCTGCGCGAAACTCGTCCCTTTCAGTACGGACGACGAATACTAGGCCGCCACCCAGCCCTGGCATATTCCCCGGTGCAAGTCGGGCTAGCGCAGAAGATACCACGCCGACCGCCCCGAACGCCCAATATCTGAAGGCAGGCTTAGAAGAGCTCGCTGCCAGGCGCGCGGAACTCTATGCCCTGTCTCGCAATGTCCTCCAAGGCACCGGCAAGAAGCGGGGCTGGGAAAGCGGTTGGACTTCGGCGCCCGTGGTTGGCGAATCAGAGGCCAACGAGTTTCAGGAAGTGAGCCTCGAGAATGATGATAAGGAAGAGGATGCCGATGACTCGGCACCTTCTTGCGTGGGCCTCGCCGGAATCGAGAACGGGCTACTGCATGCTGCTCTGGACAGCCGTGAAGACTTTTACCGGCTTTACGAAACACTCACGGACAAAGCCCTCAGACACTACACTGTTGCGAACCATACGCATGCAGTCAAGACCAGTATGGCTGATCTTGCTGTACTGAAATACCATCTGGGCGAGTATGGCCCCGCTGCCTCGTTCTTCTACATGACAACGCCTTTCTTTGGAGAGAACAGCTGGAGTCTACTGGAGCTGTCGATGCTTGTCATGTACTCTCACTGTCTACGGGAACTGCAACGCAAGGATGAATTCGTACGGGTGGGACTGAAGCTATTGACGAAGGCGGCGGCCGCCGAGAATGAAAGATTACTCCAGAAGAAGTCGCTTTCTGTGGGTCCTTCTGCGGAAGTTACATACCCCGACAAGAGTGCCATCAGTGGCTTCTTGAACGAGATCTTGAGCGTTGCGGCAACGCTGTCCAACGAGGTCCGGGTTCCACTGAACCAATTATTTACCCAAGTGGAGGTCCTAGGAACCCCTGAATATCACGATGGAAAGGACCGATTCTCTCTTACCATCACACTGAGAAGCCTTTTGGTCGATGAGCTGAAGGTGGAAAAGGGCACTCTTCGCCTCACCCGTACCATTCCTGGTGGAACGAAGGAAGTCCGTCTGCAAACCTCAGAGACAAGCACATTGAAGCCGGGCGTTAACAAGCTGCACTTCGTCAGCACAGTAAGTAACGTTAACAAATGTCTGAGGACTCGGCTAACTAGGCACAGACGAACGTATCGGGCCCTTATAGAATACACCAGGCGGACATTGTCTGTGACAACGTCCACCTTCACTGGGAGCGTGACGTCACCCAGACACCGAGCAAAACGGCCCATGTCTTCCGCGTGCCCGACGTGCAGCTGTACCGCCCAGCAGGAGGTTTGAGATGCCGTCTTACGGCCGCCAAGGACATTCAGCTCGACAAGAACAACTCGGTCGACCTGGAGGTTTCAACAGGATGGAACTCCATCACGTCCTGCGAGCTGTCGGTGAAACCCGCCACCGGTGGTCTCCGTATCAACTCGACAGAAGCCAGTTTTGTCGGCCCCTCCTTCGAATATGAAAAACCACCTGAAGCTGGACTGTTCCGTTTCGGGGCCGTACCTGAGTCGACAACCATCAAGATGCGCTTCCCCTACACTATTGAACAAGACGTCCCCAACATTTCCGTCAGAGTTGAGGTGAACTACACGACGGAGGACACGACGTACCACTACTCAAGCGTCTTCTCAATTCCCATTTCACTGGCTTTGGGTGTCAATGTCCAGGATGTCTTCAAGGACAAGGAGCTCTTCTCCCGCTTCAGCGTCTCAACGGCATCTGCCAGCCCGCTGAAGCTGTTCACGACAAAGCTCCTGGATTCCGAAGTCTTCAAGGCCCACGCTGCCCCGGGTTCAAGTAGGACCGTCACAGTCTTCCCCAAACAGCCAGCCAGCTTGCTGTACAAGATCACCAGGAAGTCCGCAAACGTAATCACTGCCAAGACGCCACGAACCATGTATCTCAGACTCGAATACAGTGTGCTGTTGGACGAGATTATCGACCATGTCGAAGAAGTCTTTGCCGAGGCTACCAAGGAATTGCCGTTATCGACGTTCTCAGGGTTCCTGATTGGACGTATTCTTAAGGAGGTCCAATCTGGTCTTTCTGCGTATGAGCTGGAACGTGCCGCCCTGCTTGGCGAGGTACCCACGAGCTTCATCTCGCCCTTGTTGGCGGAGGGAGCCATTTCTGGACTAGGCGCTATTCCAGGTACCAGTGAAGATGCGACAATCATGCTGAAGACCTTCCTGAAGGAATGGCAGACAGCCCACCCGCGACTTACAATCAAAGAAATGGAATCTGCGAGACGCTCCATTCTCATCCCCGTCGATGTTCCGTCAATCCCTGTCTTCCACTCCGTCGACATCCAGCTCCCGCCACCCTCAGAGCAAACTTTCGACTCCACCGTGGCCGTCAATGAGCTTCTCGCTGCCAACCTCCGGCTGCGGTGGACACGCATTTGGGACACAGCTGTCAGTGACGGCAAGAGCATCAACAAGGACTACGAATTCAGCTACGAGGTCAACGGTCTTCCCGAGACATGGCTCGTCGGTGGCCGCAAACGAGGTCACTTCAAGAGCCTGGGCGTCGACAAGTCCGACACGAAGTTCGGCGAGTCGGAGCTCCATGTCCCCGTGCTGTTGGTGCCACTGAGAGAGGGCCGGCTGCCGTTTCCGAACGTCGAGATCCGCGAGGTGAAGGAGGAGAAGGACGAGTCATCCCAGGCGCATGGCCACCACGAGATCGACTACCAAAACATCGGAGAGACGGTGCGGGTGGTGGCCGACTTGCAAAAGGTCACCCTCAGCCTGGACGCTAGCGGCCCCAGCGGGGGCCCGCTTGTGCTTGAGAGCGAGCATCGCGAGGTGAGCGACCGCATTTTGCTGTAGATACCATAGACGACGCCGCCGCGATGCATGTCGCGACTCGGCATAATGTAACCACAAATCATGACGAACACTCGCCCGAGAACTTCCAATTGAGGCCCCCAAGTGAGCTCGTGCTCAGCCTCGCGCTGCCCGTGGCCTGATTCCAGCCTGACGACTCACTGCCAAGATAGCAACGGCAGCGGGATTGCCGTCTCCATTCCGGGGCAACCTGCGATATACAAGGGTCGTCCGCCCGACCAACTCACGTGTCGCTTGCTTCGACCCCAGCCGGCCCAATGAGCAGAGTCGCACTGAGCCAAGCGAACCAACAGTCACCGCACGCGGTGAGGCTTAAGCGGCGCAGAGCTGGGAGTCGCCCGCCCGGCACGCTCCCAAGAGCTGCTTCGCCCTTTCAGGGTTGCCTGTAGCCCGCAGCCGCGTTCAATAGTTGGGAGTGGTATGTATCAAACCCGTGGCACAGCCATCATGTGATGAAGATATAAACGCACAAAGATGCCCCCGCTTGAAAGTGGCTCCTGTTGGTTTAGCACCTTCCCCATCAAGCCATCGTCTGATATTCTATAAAGAATGAACTTCTCCGAGTCTCACGTTCCTCAACAATCGTCAGGTCTACTGTCGCTCATCGTCTTCAACCAAGCTAGTAACCACAATCTACACAAAAAGACGACACAAACCCCAGCGGACACACAACGCAACCCCTTCAACCACCTCAAGAGCCATTTCAAAATGTCTCACCACAGCAACGACAGCCAAGTGACCCTCGTCAACAAGGACGCAAATCAAGAGCCACCCAGCCAATCGAAGGCGCCGAAAAAGAAGTCGCTATACCAGCGCTTGACCGGCTCCCGGTCCGGCGAGATCTCGGAGGAGGATATGCTGAAGTACACGGGGAAGAGCAAGGAGGAGTTGAAGGAGTGGGCCAAGGATCGGCCTGATGTTGGAAAGAACCAGGAGGCGGGGAGGGTGGACCGTGGGAACAATAATTTCGGGGTGATTGGGTTGGGAGTTCATTGAGATACCTGGGGATGTGGGCCGTAATTGTGTGTTGGAACATTTATGAATACCAGGGTAGAGGAGAATAACGACAAGCTTCCGTTTATGTAATGCCAAGCCAACTTGGGCCATCTTTCAGTGCATTTGGATGTCTCTACCAACAAAGTGATGATCGCCTGTGGAAGGTGACTCGACGTTTCAACGGGGATCTCAAGATGCCGACTTGTTTTTTTTTGTACCCGACTCGATTCTGACGCGAACTAGATTGCAAGACAGGGTTTTGAGATGGGAATGAGAGTATCACTTGCGAGCTGAGGAGAAGACGAGGGCATGATTGGTTTGAGTTGTGCTGTGGGGAGCTGTTGGAACCGGGGCAGTAGGCGCGACTCGACGTATCGTGAGAATTTCCCGTACGCCTTTATGATGTAAGCGGGAACCCGAGCGATATCTGAGAGCCGACGCTTCATTATTTTGCCCAAACAACAGCATTCTCATCAGCATCGGTCTCGGCATGGAAAACCTCGGGCCGTTTGAAGTTTTGCTGAGACAACATGAATCCTTTCTTATAAAAGACTTATCTTCAGACTTGCGCATGTTCCAACAACAGTCCAAGTTCTCAACTCCCATTCTTCACACCAGCTTCCGCACCATCTACGCTCTTTCGTTTCATCAAGCTTGCTTTGCGACATTGACCATGGGCTCAAACGCGCCTAAGAACCTGGCCCTGAGGCTCCCGGCCTTTGGCACACCGTTGGAAAAGATCGAACTTCCCATTCCCGAAGCGACCACCGGCACCGTCGTCACTCGCGTTCTGGCTGCGCCAGTCGTTCCCTACACGCATCTCGCCCACGACGGGAAACTCCCACAATTGAACCTAGAACCACCCTTGATCCCAAACTCAGCCGGTATCGGGCGCGTGCACGCAGTCGGCCCCGATGCAGTGCGACTCAAGCCCGGCGATCTTGTATACGTCAAAGCCCAGGTCCAGGCCAGAGATGACCCTAACACCAAGATCGTCATCGGGCACATCGGGGGTAGTGGGCCTCGGGCGAAGAAGCTGATGCAGGGCGAATGGAAAGACGGCGCTTTCCAACAATACCAGAAGGTGCCGCTGGAGAACTGCTATCTCCTCAATGAGAATCGGCTGTGTAGAGAGTTGGGGTATGATGCAGCTGTGCTCCAGTCTCTCACGATGTACGCTATCTCGGCTGGCGCAATCATCGAGGCGGCGAACCTCAAGCCCGCAGAAACCATTGTGATAGGCCCATCTGGAGGTACTTTTGGTGGACTGGCCGTTGAAATTGCTCTTGCTCTTGGTGCGAATGTTATTGCTCTCGGCAGGAATAACGAGAAGCTTGCGGCAATGCAGAAGACGATCAACCATCCGAGGCTGCAGTACGTTGTCATGAGCGGCGATGATGAGGTTGATCGGAAGGCAGTCATTGAAAAGACGCCAGACGCGGCCGGGGCGGAGGTCTACAATGACTGGACCCCAGGTGAGTTACCTGGTCCGCTGTACCTCTCCGCTGCATCAAGTGTACTCAAGTGTGAGGGCCGTATCGTTCTGAGCGGTGGCACCATGGGTGGCCTTGGGGGCATCAACTACGCAGAGGCTGTCTACAAGGACCTGCAGATTCTTGCGAAGTGGGTGTGTCATCGCAAGACACTGGAACAGCTCATCAACATGATTACACAGGGGCAGCTCAAGATTGGCGCTGAGAGTGGCACGATCACGAAGAGCTTTACGTTGGATGAGGTTGAGGAGGCAAAGGAATATGCGAAGAGATACGGTGGCTGGAGGCATTACGCAGTCATGAGCCCTTAGAAGAAAGAAAGAGTGCTGTTTTCTCATCAAAGGCATCCCGCGACGAAACCATTGAACGATCTTCGTCATTGAACTCACACTCTGTGGAAGCTCACTCTAAAGTTTCTTGCACTTCTGAAGAGAACATCAAGGTGCATAAATAGAATACAGCGCGAGATATAAATGCAAAAAGCACCGCTCGTAAAAAGATAAAGCGCAATCACGACTTAAGTTGGTATAGTTATCAATGCATTTGAGGTGGAATCAAAAGATTAAGGAAGAAAACCAAAACATAAAATGCCCATCAGCCAGGGTTGTTTAAAGCCCCCAGTGATGTTTTGAACAAGATGATAGCATAACAATACGCCCAAACCGGGCTTGAGATTACCATAGCCATTAAGGATTCAAGATGACTATCCAAATGCCCTCAGTCCAGGGTGACTCCCTGGTAGCTAGTGATCGCGTCCCCAATAGTCGCGCTCAAGCTATCGGCCTCAGATTGAATCTCTGAGGCCTGACCTTCCAGGGTGTCAATGAGAGTAAAAGCCAGCGTCTGGAGAAACCATTAGTTATAACTGATTATACCTCGAGGCCCCTCGAGACTCACGTCGACAATAGCTTCAATCTGGCGCAGAACCGCTGCGATAGGTTGTCCGATGAAAGGGACAGTGCTGAATAATCCAGCTTTGCCAATGAGAATTTCGAGGAGCGCCTGATGAACACGGACAAAACCGCGGAAGGCTTCGATAATTGCATCGGAGTTGGCGCCAGGCGGAATGGCGGCCATGCCCTGCATCTGCGAAAGGGCAGTAGTCGCGGTACTGACGATATCAGTAAAACCCCTGATAATTTCCTGTTGCGAGCGACGCGCGTCAGCTAGTCACTTTGCTGCATTTGCCTCGATGATGGTCAGAAGTTCTGCTGGACTGTCGACATACCGGGAAAGGACCCTGACCGGCTACAATCAGCGGTCCATTGACGATGGTGATTGACTCGGCAGGTGCCTGAAGGGCCTGGGACTTCTGGGTAAGCATGTTGATATTGCTGACGACTTGGGACGGAGTAGTTTGGCCGAAGACGGTGTTGCTGCAGATGGCCAAGACAGCAATGGCAAACTTGAGGGTGGAGAAATGCATTCTTAAAGAGTAAGAGGGTTGAAGGTGACGCGCAAGGAGTGAGGTGGTTGGCTAATGGTGGAGGCTTTGCATGAGCTGTTAGTTTGTAAGTGATGGAATAGTTCCATAGTGAAGGCAGCAAAAGGGCTTCTTTATAGTTGAAATATCTTACAGAATACGGGCACATCGTATGCCAGCAATCATCTTGAATATTTCGTCAGGCTTGTGTAAATTGCTATCTAACCTCAAATACCCAAAGATCTTCACAATAATACTTCAAAGATATCTAGGGATATGCCGAGAAGGTTTCAAGACGAAAACAGCCCTCCTAATCATTGCAACCAAGCAAGCTTTACCGAGAGCCTCGTATTTTCAGTCAATAAATCTCTCAGTGGACAAGGTGATAGATGATTTTCTTAGTTCCTCTGGGGAATACCTGAAGTTCGGAGCTGAGGCGCTTAAGTTGCTCCCGAACCCCAAAAGAGACAAGATTGGCAATTTTCAAGACTTAGAGGAAGAGGTCTCACTTATTTGTTTCTCCCCTCCGGCAAATTCTGTCATTGATGTCAAGACTGTCGAGCCTTACTGCCTTGTTTGAGACTGAGAAAGTACCAAGACAAGACTCAAGAAAAATGGTTGCTTACTGGATCTTAGACACTGGAGATCTGAGACATCGCCGAGCGTCAACTGCCAGATTCTTGAGGCTTAATGCGGCAACGGCTAAACGGTCCTCCCTGTGAATCATAGCAGTGCCGGAATATCGAGACAAGCATGGTGCTAAGATGCATCTTGATACCAAACGGGGCTGGTGGAAGTTGTCTTCGAGCTAGGTCGTGAATGAAGTGCATTCCAAGGCAGAGGTTCGGAGCTCAAGTTTGCCGAAGCCAGCAACGTAGACAACGTTTCCCGTCCTGGCAGAAGATCGCTTCATCAAGCTTCCGCAGCAAGTGGACAGCAATTTATGCTATTGCTGCATAACTGTCACGCGAGAATTGAGCTTGCATTGTCTCAAAAATCGGCCAATTTACATGGCGTGCCTGGATATGATTTTGCGAGAGGTCTTCAATGAGTGGCCGCAGAATACGATTCGCAATGCATACCCACAGCAAACATTGTATTTCATTTTGTTACGAAGGTTGCTGCGTTGAGCCAAACGGAACCAACCTTGGAAAGCGTTCTTGGAACAGCACTCTCAATCTGCATGCTAAACTCCTAACTATCAATCCTCTTCTGGAAAGAGAACGGCGCATCAGTCAGGTGGCTTGCTAACATGCCTAATCAAGTCTCGAGTTATGCGCTAGGTGATCTGCCGTAGTGACGTGCAGGGTAGGTTGGAATGGATGTACATATGTTTCGGGACGCACAGGGGCCGATGCAAGGCGGTTGGGTGGGTTGCCCCCAGCTCCGGGTCATTAGTCTGAGACATCTCAGGATGTCATTAGGATGCTTCAATGCTCAGAATTTTGACTAATCGGAAAGCAACTGGCAATGATCTTCGTCTTCTCCCTCGTAATCGTGAAAATGTCGCATAACAACATGCTTCCACTCTACCGACTCGAATTGCTTGACATTTGAGATTCTCTGACGACATGCCTCGGCATTAACCTAGTTAACTCAAGACAGTGGGCGAGAGCCAGAATCAAAATGTAACTCTAATTCTTTAGTCTTGGACGGAGTATGTCCCTCCGTTTAAAACGGGTTTTGGGTGTTATGGAAGTGCTCGTTGGAGAGTGCTTCCACACCCAGAGAGTCTCATAGAGCCCACCAAGATTCGTCTAGTCGAAGTTTTGCAAAACAAAATTGTATTATCAATGATTGGTACAATGTTTATTTGAGTTGGCTGGGTGCCGCGGCACCTCAGAAAGAAAGGAAACAAAAGGTTGGTTTCTCGTCGGCAAAGCCTGGACAACAACTAGAACGGTTTCGAAGCTCTGCAGAGATTACCGTCCTCGCTCTCCAACCACTCCTCGCTCCCAACACATTGCGGGCACCACAAAAGCCCCTCAGGATCGTCTTTCTCCTTGATACTAAGAAGTCGTCCATAATTGGGTCCGAAGAAAGACCATTGCCAACCAGGCTCAATTGCGTTTGCCTATGAAAGTAGAAAACAAGCATTAGCACCTGACTTTGCGGGCAGCTTCAAGAGGAATAAACTCAAAGGATGACGAAAGAAATGACTAGGCAATAGGACATAAATGAGAACAACTGACCTCGTTTAGATAAGTCCCCGTCTCCGGATTCAGCTCTCGCAGGATGTTCAACTTGCTGTATGTCATCTCGTTGACCAGCGTAGACACAGTGATGTTTGGCGTGGAGTCCGTCCATGATTGGGAAGTGATGAGATGAACCACAGAATCGCGCCACGCAGGATTCAGCGCATTATCGACGGGAACCTGACTGATCGTCATGGTTCCAGACATGGAGGGATTTGGGCTTCCGTCCTTCATAGTGATGGTTAGCTTAAGAGGTTGATGGAAACGAACATGAAGGCAAGGGGTTCTCACTGTTGGCGCGAGGGCCTGAGGGCCAACCTGTTCCAAAGCCTCGGCGAGTAGATCTTCGTTTTAGGTGACAACCTTCCGACTGATGAGTCTTGCGGCAGAAATCCCAGACCCCCCAGCGTGATCGGGAATCTTGATGTCGGTAAGAAGGCCGTAGAAGGATGAGATCGGGACGACCTGAACAGAGCCGCTCACAACACCGCTCGCATTCGAGATGAGTTCTCGAATGGGAGCGACTGCTTTTGCAACAGTGTTGTTTGACATATTCCAAGCAAAGAGTGAGCCGGCCATGCCAACTGTCGCGCTCGAAGGGGGGCCTCCGATGGTGTAGTAACCCTTGATTCCTCGGTCTTGAAGTGCAGGGAGCAGAGTATGCAGCTTTGCCACGAACTTCCACCAACTCTTAGTTGATGTACCATTGTTAGCGGACACATTGAGGCCAAGCAGGATCATATCTGGCACAGGGTATGCCTTGACTGTCATGTTGACGATGACGCCGAAGGTGCCACCTCCGCCTCCACGAATCGCCCAGTAGATGTCCTCATTCTGGCACGCGTTGACTGTGACCAAATCACCATTGGGGATGACGACTGAGGCTTCGAGAATGCTGTCTGCGCCCATGCCGTACTCTCCAGTCAGATGGCCATGTCCTCCTCCGGTAGCCCATCCGACAACACCAACGTCCTTCATAGCAACTGTGAGCTAGAACTCTTGAAGACGTTCTCGAGAGAATTCATACCATGTTCGAGCCGCCCACAGCCACCACGTTGTTCTTCTGTGCAAAATCGTAAAGCTCGCCGTCTTGGACGCCGGCTCCAATAGTTATAGCCATTTGGCTACCTTTCCACGTAGAGTTCGCGGGGCAGGAGGGAGACTTGAATTGCTTATGAAATTGGGTCTGCTTCATGTTGTGCGTCCAAATCCTGTTGAGAATGTGTGAGCAATGCTGTGCAGGTGAATAATTGGCGGAAGGAGAGAATTTACGACAAGTTTCCGACTCCTAGGTTCCTATGTTCAAAAATTAATCAAGGGTCTCTCATCGATCAATGAGCGCGTACCTGCCAGAGCCATTGTGCCCCGTGTTCTTGATAGCCAGCCTGAGGTTACGATCTTTTGCGAATGCAAGTGTCCTCTGAATGTCACCAGAGTCGCTTGCATTGACAACGTAAAGAGACAGAGCACCCAAAGAACAGCCCTTGCTACCGGCATCAGGATCCCCGTTGATGCTGGTTCCGTTGGGATAGATCGGCTCGCAACCTTTCAGAGAAGGCGAGGAGGGCACACTCGCTGGATCCGAGGAGTGGAGCGCCCAGGTTGTCCAGTTGGAAAGAACGGTATTGCAGGAGTCTTCGTTGTAGTTCGGCTCGGACTTGTAGCAGACGGAGGCGAGCGGAACGGTGCGAATGAGTTTGCCGGAGATGGTCTGATTGAAAGATTCCCATTCTGACAATGACGGCCAGCAAGTATCCGTAGGAGTCTGTATCCGGGTTAAAACGATTGTGTTGAGCACCATAGTCCATATCTGATGACAACGCCGAAAGTTGGTCTTCACTTACACACTTGCACGCATTAGCCAGAGTGCCGCCGGCTAGAGCAAGACTTGCCACGACAACTTTCGCTGTAGACAACATGGTTCTAGTGACAAGAAGCGATAAAAATGAATGAATGTTGAGTAATGGCTACCTCAGACTAAGCCATGAAAACGAGAAGCCGTCAAATATTTATACGAATTGACGAAGTGCTGCCTAGAAAACGATCTTGGACACGATCATGTCGCATTGATCCAATTAAAATGGTTGAATTGGCCCATTTGGAAAGTGAGGAACTGAATGCCGTCATCCATCATAGCGTGATCAAAGAAGCTATAGTCGGCGAGTCCATACATACAGTATTCTGGCTTGAAAGCGTATTCTAAGCGCGCTGTACGAGCTAATACGCTCGATATGGGCACCAGTGAGTACTGCTTATATGCGGGTACCCGAGAGTCGGCATCTTCTCAATGCCCCAGTCAATCTAGAATAAGTGGCTATGACAGGGTCCAGTGGCACGGATGTGGTATCGTTGGATAGGATGGGGTCGGGAGGACCGATTTAGGAGTCAGGCGTGAATCGCGCCACTGGAATTGAGCTAGCTGTGAAATCGGCATTGTGCCATCTCCCGGAGACTAGGATCTACGTCCCCCATAGCGGACCGCCGATGTCCCCTTGTTCGAAATATTTAAGCTCCATCTGTCTGGGCGCTCGCATAGAATCCGCGGATTTCTCGTTCAGATCCCACAGCTGGAGCGCCGTCGACGACCGCTCATTCACCGTCCTCGTCCATCCCGAAAACCACCGCCCCGACCATACCAGTGGCGTCTATGCACCAAGCCTTCCACAATGAGCTCATCAGAAGGCACTGTTAAACATAGACGGCCTCACAAAAAGTCCCGATTGGGTTGTCGAGAGTGCAAGAGGAGGAAAATTAAGTGCGATGAAGCTAGGCCGAGCTGTCTTAACTGTGTACGCAGGGAGGTCGACTGCAGTTTTCGATTGGAACGATATGAAGGAGATGGTGCATCGAAGTGCATGAATTGTCGTTTTGGAACAGACGTCTTATCTCAAACAAACACCACGCGCACAACTGGCCCAGGTCTTTCGAACTCGACTCAGACTGATGGTATTTCGTCCACGCTACTGAGCGTACTGGCCGAACAGTCCAAACAACTGGAAATCATATCCCAGCGATTAGCAATGATGGAAAATTCCATGGCCCGATCTGCTCAGCACGCATCCCCGCATCCCGTACTGAGCTACGCTGATATGGAGCTGCTGCACCACTACCACACGATGACAGCCTCGACCTTGGCTCATGACGATAAGGGGAAACGCTTCTGGCTTGTCCGGCTGCCAGAGCTTGCTTTCCAATATCCCCATCTTCTTCACCTCTTGCTGGCGTTCGCTGCGCTGCACAAAGTTCGCCTCCATCCTTTACAGCAAGATCTCTTAGCCCAAGCCGAACGACACCATGTTCTTGGAATCCAAGGTTCTACTATGCTTCTTCAAGACATCAACGATAGCAACTACGAGGTTGTGCACACTTCGGCAATTTTGATCGGTCTGATTAATCTAGCTTTGGGCCCAAGGCCAGGAGAATACATCGCATTCAGCGACCAAGCTGGATCTGACTTTCTCGGGCTCTTACGAGGGGTACAATCGATCAGGTTACACAACGACGTTAGCGAAAGTACAAATGCGCCCTCTGAAGCCGCAATGAACGTCTCAATCTCACGAGAATCTCCGGAATACGGAGCCAACACTGGGTACAAATCCCATTTTCAAATGCTACGAAGTCGAGCTCGACAGATATCCGACATTGGGGTCAGGGCAGCTTACAACATCGCATTGGATGATTTGGAAGTGTTCTTCGTTGTGATGGAACCATCTACTTTGGAAAACGAGATGAATTCAGCGTTACCTGATGCTGCACATCACGCTAGCCCTCTCGGCTGGCTATATCGCATTCCGGAGCGTTTTCTAGACCAGCTTCGGAAGAGAGAATCTCTTTCACTGGCAATTCTGGCTTGTTTTGCAGTGGTGCTGAAGGAGCTAGAGCACGGATGGCCTGCTGATGGGTGGGCAGATCATATTATGGCTGGGGTTTGCGAACGCACAGAGCCAGAAGCCCAGGATCTTCTACAGTGGCCAGTGTCACGCCTGGGAGACAGTCTCCCGTGATGGGATTCTGTCCAGAACATTGCTTCAGAAACGAGAGTACCTGAATGTCGGAACCAAATCATTGGCAGCCGTGTTTCGAAGAACCTTTCGCCATTTTCCAGGTGACGTGGCTGAGTAGAACAATATCGTAAAGAATACGAAGACGTTAGCGACAGGGAGAATTTTCGTATCCCATCCGAAAAATAAGACTTAGCCACTGACGGACTGCCCATTCAGAACACCCGTTGCCCGACCAAACTAATCGACTCGTCAACAACATAAGGATTTATGCAGATGGACTGGATTTTCTCCCGTGTTGTTTTCACATAATTTCATTCACAGAATGAAGTTGTGCGTCGCACTCCGTAGTCGAAATTCGTCTGGGTAGATTACTCCGCGACTACTCCGTACTCCGAATCCATTACCTACTCTCCGAGTTCGGAGAAACAAAGGATCTTGAACCCCGTTACCGATTATCGGAGTGATCTTACTCCGATGAAGAGCTTCGTCGGAGTTCCCAAATACTCCTCCGTTGGCTGAACACGTTGGAACTTTCTCACACTGACGAACTGCACGATTTTATCGTGTCATTGAACGAATAATATGACGCCCCGGCTGGCGGCATGTGACCCGTGTCGAACGGCGAAACTGGCTTGCGGCCATGAGCGGCCCGTTTGCGCCCGATGCGTCACAAACAACCGAGAAGATGTCTGTGTCTATCGCGCGACGCCTTTCAAAAGGAAGCGAACCGAGACACTTTCGCCATCATTCTTATCTTCAAAGACGGCTCGGTATGTACTGGGTTGTGTCATTTGGTCAACAGTCGCTAAAAGTCCACTGAAAGCTACCAGCCACTAGAGGATTCGCCTGTATCATCAACTCCAACCCGTCCCTTGAACCCGAATCCTGGATTTCTAGGGGCGTCTAGTCACATTTCCATCTTCAGTCACCTGATACAGGATGCGAACGACAGCCCAGAAAGAACTGCAACCAGCAGTGTAATGTCTAGGCCAGAAGCTGCGCCTAATACCATCTATTTGGACGAGGAACCAATTGTTAAAAACACAGTGGACTTGATGAGACATGTCTTCCAAAGTTTTCCGTTGAATGCTATGCAAGATTTGATTAGCTTCTGGCGTGCTACAGGCGCCAATCTAGCTCTTGCTGAACCTTTCGTGGATGAATGCTCCCGAGCCCTGGGCACCATCCTGGAAGGAGAGACCGACAAAGATGACTGGTGGCATCATTCACTCACTCATTTATTACTTCGAAATTCGAGGCAGACACTTGGAACTAATCCAGGGTGCTCCATTTCAGACTTCACAGCTCAGTTCGTAGGCCATTACCTGCGATGGGAAACAGTGGGGATTTTCTTCACAGCTGTGATCCGAGCTACAATGGAGGTGCCCTTCTTCCCATCTTTGTACAAATCAGATGTGCGAAGACAACAGCTTGTTGGGCTAGCAATCAAGGTTTCGGATGCCTTGGCAGAGATATGCATATCTCTAGACTGCCTGAATGACCTCCAGCTCATTGCACAGTATGAAAACTTCATCGCTCATTCATACGTTCTTGGGATTCAGTGTAAGTAAAATGGGATGGGAACCGCCATAGGAACGGAACTGATGCATCTCGCAGCTTACTCGGCGTGGAGAAGGCTTGGGGATGTCATTGCATCAATTACTGCGCTTGGTTATCACCAAAAGCCGCCAGGACCGGCTTCAGCACCCTTGTTTCTCGTCGAGCTCCGGAAAACCGCCTTCGCCCGCATTTACTCGGCCGATAAGAACTTTTCAATCTTCCTTGGTCGCTCTCCAAGGCTGAGCAAAAGATTTTGTCATCTCCAAGTTCCTCAAGGGCGACTGATTCTTGACTCGGAGGAGTCAGATCAACCAGCGTCTGACAAGACGGAAGATTGGACACAAGATGCACAAGCTTGCTACAGAGCAGACACCCGTTGGTCCGCACAATGCGCCTCCCTCAAAGAGGATATTCTAGCTATGTTGTTTGGCGATTGTCGAGAAATATGCATGGAAAAAATAAAGTAAGCGTAGTTCTTCAATACAGACTGCATCTTTCAACACTATCATGGCTAACCACAAACAGGTTGATACGAGAGCGTGCTCAACGTCAATGGATGCTGTTACCCCCCTCCCTTCGGCTGGAAGGGAGCATGAAACGATCAGACAGAACTCCATTTGAACGCGATTTTCTCATAAGCGCGCGTCTCAATTACCTTCATATCCTGTTTCTTACGCAACTTGTCTGTCTCAAGTCCCCGCCAGAACCGGACAAGACCATTGTTGAACTCGCTCAAGAGATTCTGTCTTTAGTCGTAGAAGCGGTCGTGCTAAGGGATCAGGCCGTCTCTTCTGGGACAAGTACAGTATGGAAGGTAAGGTTTCGACCTTCGAATCACAAAGTTCAATCTAACTCTATTGAGGTTGCGCACTATGGACTTCCCGCTGTCGGTATAGCGTTACTAGCCATGCTGAAACAGCCAAGTCTCGTGACACTATTCAAGATCCCAAAGAACAGAACTTTACAAGATCTAGGGGTACTCGTTGCGGAGATTGAGATGGGAACTATCATTCGGCCTGGAGAGCCGAATTTTACGGTGCTCTCGGCAGCTGCGGATACCATTCAACGATTTCTCGACCGCATACAAATGGAGGACTCGCAAAGTATATACATCAGTTCGCGGAAGGAAACTAATCCTTCCAATGATTCTGAGCCATGGGACTTCGGATTGAGCCTGGATCCTTGGAATTTTGAACTTGGATTTTGGGAAAGTCTCGCAGAGCATCCTTCTTTGTACAACAGCGGGGATCAGACTTGATGTCTTCAAGCCGCCATAAGTACACAAGACTGTGACGCTATCAGCCCTTGAGGTCAAGTCTCAGTACCTAGTGATATTATTCTGTTATTTGAAGTAGATATGATACCGAGAGAAAGATCCGAGGAGTGTCAGCTCCGGAACCGTTCTTTCGATCTCTTGAGACGAGAAATTTACTTTCTGACCGGTGCGGGTCTCTGTCATTCGGACACTTCCCCGCCGCTCTCAGCTTCTGCCCATGGGGAAGATCGATTTCGCCTCGTCCTCTTTCACTGCCCCCCTGTCTCGCCATCAACGGCAATATGCCTCAATCCGTCTCTTGTATCCGAGCTCTTGTGACTTGGGGTCCGCCGAGAGTCAGCATCGCGCGAGGCGAGGAGGTCGTATTTATCGGCTTCTTACCCTTATCGTAGGTACTCCCTGCCTCCCTCATTCGAGGATACCATGCCGAGGGACTGTTACCACCAGTACTGTTTCCTGTAGTCCAATCAATAGAGACATGATAAAAACGGCGGTGAGCGCTGTTACAATGATTGACAACCGCGAGTGGATAGTTTCATTTAATCGAGGCAGGGTTGAGCACGGAGCAGTTGACGACCAGGGCTTCGGATGTCCGCGGCGGCTTCTGAACTTCCAGGCGTGATCCTTGTGTCTTGAGTTGAACTCACTGCGCGCGTTTGTGACCGATCTTCAGGGTCTTACTGTTTATGGTCGTCTTGAGACCACATGGGTCGGGAAAGTTAAACTTCAAGGGACCAGGGGTTCGGTCCGGAACTTGACAGAGCTAAACTTCAGATCACAAATCCGAAGCTATTGCGGCGTGCCAAGACAAGAGGGGCCCAATTTGAGCAACTGTGGCATGGCAAAGAAGAAAAACGGGTTTCCAAACTTCATTCGCCACTTCACTTCTGGAACGATCGTCGTCACCGAAACCCTTCTTGTTGCCATCTTTAGCCCACAAAATCGGTCGGCTATCAACACTATGTTCGGGAACTTGTCAAAGCTCTAGTCAAAGCACGATGCCACTTCGCGAAGTGGGCTGCCCTCGTTTCAAGCCCAGCCCAGACCACTGGGACACAAGGGAAGAGCTGTAGAATAAATGCAGAAATGCCCATCTCATTTCCGCATCTCACGTTCCGGGCCAGGCGAAAGACAGGCTGTTTAAAGTTCACGACTAGTAATAGAGTTCGTAGCTGTATGCGCCTCGCCTGCAACATACGACACGTACTTGGCTGGAGTCACATTAAAAGACAAGGTTCCCTAGATTTACTGTGCTCTCGACAGTACTCATTCTTGATGCGTCTTATATGTAGGTTGATGGGACATTGTGAACATTCATCTCTTGTCTTCGGTCTCGGTTGTCATTTTCTCCCCAACGTTGCCGGCAATCTGCCCAAAGAAAAGAGCGAGACCGAGCGAAATCATGTTCGCAACTCTTCGAACCGAAGATCGAGATGGGGAGGTGGTCTGCATATCGAGCACAAATCAACCGCCAGCTCCGGGTCAGAATCCAAGTCACTTTGCATGTGATGGGTGCCGGGCTAAGAAGGCAAGTGGTGCGCATGGAAGATGACCGACTTGAAAGAGTAGTGCTGACCAGTTCTCTCTAGTTGAAATGCACTGGCCATAGATTTGGTTGCCAACGTTGCAGAGATCGTAATCTCGTATGCACCTACACCAACGCGTCTCAACCCAAGCGGCGCAAGACAGGGAGAATTTCGACTGCTCAAAGGGTTTCTTCATTTGGAGCCCCAACACCGTCAAGCTCGGAAGATTTAATGATTCTACCCCGCACACCTTTGGAAGACGCCAAAGTTTCTATATCAAGCCAACTCCTGGATCAGAACGTAACGAAGGAAGCAAGGCATAATATTGCGCCTATAATTTCTCGACTGCCCACGAACAGGGATACCCACGGCCCAAGCATAACAACTCACTTGTCGACAGACTCAAGCGACTCATCCAACACTTTGCCCACGGACCAAGCCGTATCTGTGCCCCCGGAGTTCCCTGATTTAGCTTTGCCGGAGTATATTGAGTCAAGCTTTCAGGAATTTGATATGGACGAACTACTCGAAGCCGACCTTGCCTTATCAGAGCATGATGAGAGAGAACTCACACTGGACAGTGTCTTCGCGCCCAGTTCATCATCAGAGAACCAATCTACTTCTCGAGAGAGTAGCTTTGCAAACACAAGCGCAACTTCAGGTGAGTTTCAATGCTTCATCAGGGGGTGCAAAGACTAATAACACCAAGGAGACGTTGAATGGGACGCAATACAACAAAATAAGAGGAAGCGGATGGAGGAATCTCTACCATCCCCGAAAAGACCCACGACAAATATGTCATCTAGCGGGCGATCTTCAACTCCTTTCTCATCAAAGATTGACCCAAAAATGGAGATTCGCCAACCACGAGAAACTTCAACGGTCAGAGACAGAACACGAACTCATCAAGCGTCTCCGTGCCGCTGCATGGGAGTCACTTTGGGTCACCTCGAGAAGGTTCAAGGTCATACCAAACTCAACAGTCTTTGCTCAGCAGAGAGATCACTCAACTCTCTCAAGAAGTCGATATCACAATGTCACGCCCTGCTGCAATGCAGCTCATGCCGCAACCCTTCTAGAGTCATGACTTTCTTAATACTCTTGATTGAGAAGATGATTGGTATGTTGGAAGACATAGCATCTGTATGGGAAACGAGCTTCATGTCTTCCTCATCCGAGCGGGACTCATCGCAACTGGACTTGCATGGACACGCGCATCGCTGGTTACCAATTCATATCGGGCAGTTTCAGATTGACTCTGTCCAGGAACGATTCGAAGTTTTTGGATTCCTGATTCTACTTCAAGCAAGGCATATGAACGTTTTTTTAGAGGGACTGGTATCGCATGCTGCAAGGGAGAATTGGGAGTCTCACCAGAATGCCTTACGACCAGTTGGGCTGAGAATTCGAGACTTACAAGAAACGCTGGGGGCTATGACATCTGGATCAGGACGATAGTATTATTGAGACACGAATAACGAATACACGAGCACTTCTCCGCTGAGCACAAGAATACCCACTCACACCTCGCCGTCGAGCGTGACGATTAGGGCGCACATGGGACTGGACATCATGAAGCGAATTGACGGTTGTGGCCCCCATCTGCTTCAGTATCCGATGTGGAGACCGTTGCAACGCTAATCAAGTCCCTGGTCCCGAGTCCATGTAACACCTTGAACTTTATTCTATCCTTCCCTCAGGTTCAGGCCTCAGTGCAAAGCATACGCAACGAAATAATGCGCCTCTTCCCAACCCCTTACCCGCTTCCCTCGAGCAGAATATCGTAGTTGAGCCGCGAGTCAACACGTGCAACAGAAGTTGGGATGAGTCCGTGTATGGGACAGCCCGTAAAGAGGGCGAGAACGGTGCCCTGATTTTAGAGTTCTGAATGGAAAGTCTATTAGGGGGTGTCTCCCGGCCCGACCCCTTGCAACGGTCAAAGCTTGGCGAAAACGAAGCCAGTGGCGCACACGTAGTCGTGGCACTCGGAGAGAATTGCGTGACGGATACCACTGTGTCAAGGCGGACAGATCCGGTTTTATCTGAGTCGTTTCTACCGACGCAGAAAAAGGCAACATTGTCGAAATTGGAAAGAGGGGCTTTCGATCCTCAACCGCCTTCGCATTGAAAACTTGCCGATATATCCACTAGACGCGGTCTCAGCACCATTTCGCGGCCTCTAAGTTAAAACCGAAGCATGGCCTGATACTTTCTTCGCGCCCGCACTTGCACCGGTGGGATGCAACAACGGCTTCTCCACTAAATAGTCAATCTGGAGTATCCCCTATTCCCCCGCGGGACGTCCATTTTGATCACAATGTACTGCCCGTAAATACACCTCGCTGTCACTCGGAGGCCGCCAGAACCTTATCCCAGGCGGAGCTGACCGCTTGCCCACGTGGCTATATCGAGTCGGATGGTGTCCGCGAATACTGCATGACATTGTCGGCGTTTTCTTAACTAGGAAGTCAACCGATGCTGAACACAGAACGGTGAAAGAAAGAACTCTGGACTCAGTTCCTCATAACGTCCTTGGTAGCAATGAGATAATCAGGAAGGAGACAATCGTGATTGCTTCGTGGAATGACTGCACAGTAGATAATTGTCGTTGAAAGGAAAATTTCTACCCCAAACTAGCCCAAGAGTTGGGGCAAACCCGGATGACAACCTTCTCATGGTGTGGTACAAACATCAAATAAACAGTAGATCATCCCATGTAGTGGGCAGAGTAAACGTGGGATATTCGTGTACAATTGAGTTTGAACTAAAAAGGCTTTTAGAAACCTTTGATATTGGAATCTATCTACTAAGGTCGGGCAGCAAACGTTTTTTGAACTCAATCGTCGCCACCGGGTTTGGCAAATATTGAGTCTCAGCTCGCAAGCTTTCAGGCCTACTTTGACCTTCCGCAAAGCGCATGTCGTAATTCATGAGCAAATGCGCCATTATGGCTTTTATCTCTTGTGCAGCAAAGAAGCGTCCTGGACACGCGTGCCGCCCATACCCGAAGCTCAGCGATGCCGGGTTTGACGCCACGTACTGTGCTCGACCATCCAGCTCTGGCTGCTTCTCTCTCAAGCTGCTGAAGCGGAATGCGTCAAATGTTTCGGGGTCAGGATAAACGGACTCATCCATGGTTATTGCCTGTGTTGGAATCCCGATGGTTGTATGAGCGGGAATAGTGAAACCAGACGATAGCTTGAACGGCCGATGCACTACACGTTCGAAGGTGACTGCAATTCCATTAGTCGGAAAGTCATGAAAATGAGGAGCGCTGGTCTTACTTAGAAGCAGAGGGTTGAATCGTTGACTCTCTTTCATGAAGCTGTCCATCTTGTTCATTTTTAAGAAACCGGACTTGTCGATAAACCCGTCCGATCCGGTGCAATTGATTACCTCCCGTCGCAACGGTTCAATTATCTCGGGTCGCTCGCATAAATCGTAGATGAGTTGTGCCGGCGCAGCAGCGCTTGTGTGTATCGCAGCGAAGCTGACCTTCAGAAGAATGCTTGCGAGGAACTTCAGGTCCTTTTCCTCGCCTTTGGCTTGCTCGGCCATCCAGTAGAGTAAGTCCATTGCTTTCTCTCCGGTCCGCTTACGAGCTTCAAGTAGCGGGATAGCTGCAGCTTCGGCAGCAGCATAGTGATTCGCAATATTCTGAATCTCGGGGATGAATCGTGCTACAACTGGCTTCAAGAACTCGGGATACTTCTTTAGCTTTTGAGCTCCGATAAAACCGTCGATAGCGAACTGAATAGATGACTGGACCCATTCTTTATTGTGCGACAATGTCGTTCCCCCAAACATGCAGCTGGAAACCCTCGCTACAATTTGGGTGAGGACCTCCACAACGGGGACGGGGGTCCATTCTATGCCAGTCAGATCTCAAGACAGGACGTCAAGTTTGTAAAACATACCATCGCAGGTAGGAAATGTGTCATTGAATGCGTCTACAATTTCTCTTTGAACAGCAGGCATAACATCCGCTGTTGCTGTTTCAGCAAATGAGTGGTTGCTTGGCTGAGAGGCATACATACCAAGGTGATGGTTCAACTGTGCCTTGACAACACGAGGGTGGAGTGTAGATCGGCTTCCCATTGTCGTGTACTTGCCCTCAAACATCTGATATTTTTATTAGTACTGGAGAACGCAGCCATTCGCCATTTTGTTAGATCTTACTTCGATGAAAGTAGCCACAAAGTCGACATGGTCAATTGGAGCAGTCTTGAGCTCTTCAAGATACTTGGTAGGTATCATCAAGCGCTCTCCAAGTGGGCTTGGTACATAGAAAAATCCATCCCCAGACTGTGAAGTATTAGAAGTCTGCTATGTAGAAGCAAGTACAGGCTGCATACAATCTTGTAACCCTGCTCGAGCATCTCTTTGGCATTTTCTCGAAATCGCTCCCTGTTTTGTTGTATGCTCTTTTTGTCATTTCCGCCAACAACTAGAACGCCGGGAGCCAGAATTTGCTTCTCAGACTGAAAGTTGTGATAGAATATTATACTCAGGCCACCGATGACGATCAGTGATGCCAACGCCCATAACGGTGATCGAATGACATCAATGTGCACCAATGCTGGTAACAGCAAAGACTCCGTGTCGAACAAGGATCCCATACTGAGACTTCGGCTGAAGATAGCGATGCAATGTTGGCGAGGACTCGGGAGGATGCGTGAATGGGGAGAAAGTTCCCTTCGAGGTGCAGGCAGCCGACTTTGACAGTTTGACAACTGAGCTTCACGAGACGAAGTTTGCCATTCAGAGTGCCTTAGTGTATCTTCGGCGATAGCCAGTTTAGCGGAATTTCACGGTTTCATTCCTAAAGCGCTGTTGACCGAGCGCACCATTTCCGTATTAGGCAACTCTCCGACGCACCGATTGATGATGATACATGAAGTTGAATAACTTTAACGGTGCTGCACACTGCATTATCGAAAAGTTTCTTCTCACACAAGGAAAAGAATACCACGAATCATCGTTATCATGGGAGAACCAATTCGCGACGAGCCACTCACCACCACTGTCACTCCGGCCAAGAGGTCGTTGGAGATCGACGACCCCTTTCAACCTTACAAGGTTGAGAGATTTGACGATGGGCTAAGATACGATACGCTCCAGGTCCATGCAGGCCACCGACCAGACCGAGAGACGCATGCTCGGGCGGTGCCGATTTACAACAGCGTGGTGAGTGGAGCTGTGTCAAATCTCAACGTGAAATTGCTGACAATCTTCTATCAAGTCCTTTATCTTCACCGACAGCGCCCATGCAAAGAGGGTGTGTGCTATGGAGGGAGCCGGCTACTTTTACAGCCGAATTTCCAACGTGAGAAGTCTCCGCGAGCAGATTGCTAGGTCCAATGGCTTACATATTCCGCTTTAGCCGACAGTCGCTGTTTTTGAAAAGAGAGCCGCGGCTCTTGAAGGTGGAACTGCTGCTGTTGCCACCGCATCCGGACAGGCCGCAATTTTCAACACCATTATCTGTCTTGCTGGAGCTGGTGATAATGTAGTCGCCTCAATCAACCTGTACGGAGGCACTTACAGTTTGTTCAAGACCCTTCTCCCTCGCCTTGGTATCTCAATCAGGTGGGCCAAAAAGGAAACTCGCGAAGAGTTTGAAAAGCACATCGACGACAAGACCAAGATGCTATTTGTCGAGACAATCGGAAACCCTCGTTGCAGCATTCCCGATCTGAAAGAGCTAGGAGAGCTTGCACATGAAAATAACGTACCGTTCGTTGTGAGTAGCTTACCCAGACTTGATGATGTGACCTTCATAACTGACCCCCCGTTCAGGTGGACAACACCTTTGGTGCTTGCGGAATCTGGTGCAAGCCTATCGACTTCGGGGCAGACATTATTTTGCACTCAGCCACCAAGTGGATGGGTGGACACGGCACAACGGTTGGAGGTGTCATCATCGACTGTGGCACTTTCGACTGGGGCAAAGCCGGTGAAAGGTTCCCACGAATGATCAAGAAGGAAGGCCCTATGAGCTTCTCCTACTGGAAAGCTTTTGGAAATATCACGTTCGCCATGGCCATGAGAATCGATATCCTGATGGAAGTCGGATCCACTTTGGCTCCTGCATCAGCTCAACAACTCCTCATTGGAATGGAGACGCTCAGTTTGAGGTGCGAGAAACACGCGAAGAACACAATTGAGATTGCTCGCTTCCTGGAAGCACACCCTAGAGTTGCTTGGGTCAACTATCCTGGTAAGCATACAATGTCAACGACGGCAGTAAACGCCACGGTCTTGAAGTTCTGGCTTATCTAACCACGCTTGTAGGCCTCGAGAAGAATCAATATTACGAGAATGCGCAAAAGTACTTGAAGAATGGTTACGGAGGCGTTCTCGCGTTTGGTCCGAAGGGTGGAGACGTCGCCAGCAAGATGCTGATGAACTACGTGAGAGTCATCTCACACCAAACAAAGTAAGCCTCGAAGCGTCGGACTGGTTGACACAAATGCTAACATTCTGGCCAGTGTGGGAGATTCGAAGACGCTAGCCACTCATCCCTGGAACTCCACCCATGTTATCATGCCCGAGAAGGACAGGCGTGAAGCCGGAATTACGCCCGTGAGTGCTTAGTTCTGACTGTGAAGAAGCATTGCTAACTCCGTCGCGCATAGGCTTTCATCCGATTCTCGGTTGGAACTGAGGATGTGAGAGACATCATTGAGGATCTTGACCAAGCTCTAGCGAAATTGCCCGACGACATTGTCAATGCTCATGATGAAAAGCTGGAGGCCAAATTGACTTCCAATGGGGACCATCCGACTGTTATTGAAGCGGCTGTGTGCGAGAAGGTTGACTTCACTGATGCGGATGTGTCACTGTCCAAACAGAACGTCCCGATGGGTCGTCAAACTGATGTCGGGAACTGGTAGGCTCGCAAGGATTGATAGGAACGTTTAATCGGAAGAATAGGAATCTAGCATAGCCCATTTGCGATCTGTAGCTACAGGAACTGTCATTTTTATGAATAAAAAGAGTCATGCAATCAATAAATGCGTCAAGGAACACACGTAGGGACTCTCTGTGTGTCACTACTGCTGGAGTTAAGGTGCGCAATTCAAATGTTTCGGGTAATCTGTTATGCTTCGTAAACTGCTCCATCAAGCATCAATCAACTCACTTGTGAAGTGAAGCCCGGTTAACAGCGGTACAATTGTGAACGGAAAATAAAGCTTGGGATAACAGGGGTAATTACGAGTGATGCATAATATCATAATATCGGAAGTATAGAAATGGTAGGCCGACTTGTAAAGACCTGATGTCAAATTTAATCCTAGGAGATATGAGGGGAACTGCCTTGTCTTGATTGGCCGATGCATGCGACTGAGATGGAATCTAAGTTTTCATAGATGGAGCCGAAACCCTTCAACGCTAAGATTCAATTTGATGAAATGCTGTGCATACTATGGAATCGCTATGAAATGCGTCTATCTCAAAATCATGCTGACCGTTGACGTTGCATCAAACAGAATGGTATCTCGGAGTCGTCTCGCTCCATGCCTCATTACCACTCATTTGGTATTCCAAACCCTTCATGAATGACTGCAAATCCTTGCTGCAGGGCTGCAGACTCCGTCTTCTTTCCACGAGCTCTTCATGAACTAGCTCCCACTCACGGCACATGGTCCACAACACCCTCTTCGATGCTTTGTAGTCCAAGCTGATCTCAGAAGATAGGACCGACACAGAAGAGCAAAGAGCCGAGCCTTCTTGGTGACCTGTCTGAGATGCTTTCAGTTCCTTCTCCCAGCTGTAGATGTCGTTAACAACAGAAATATGCTTGGAGCAGTTCATCTCGATATCATGGACGGTATTGAGCTCTTCTGCAGTGAGATCCAGCTTCATACTGAAACGCATCAATGCGGACAACAGCCTTCAATCTGTTAGCCGCGAGTAAAGAGAATAAGTCTTGAGTGGGGGTGACCAACGCTTTGCCCACATCTCTTTCTCGGTACCTGAGATACTCCCCCAACTCCTGGATGGACAGACGAGATTTGTCTGTCTGAGCTCGCATGAAAGTAAAGACTGGTTCCAAGATCTCTTCTGCTAGAGCCTTATCGCAGGATCGCATGTCGTTCCACAGGTCGTATGTGATCCACTCTACGGGAACGTTGCGGTCAGGTTGCGTGTCGCCTCTTGACAAGAGGATCAGCCGTTCGTTATACGCCGACCCATCTTCCAGTGACATATCCTCAAGCAAATCTTGGATACGTTAGCTTATTACCATCCACTTGTAATGGATACACGAGAAAGATCGGGTATCCCACATCAGGTAGTGATACTTACCATCGATCAAGAACAGCAAGGTCAACAGCCGGCAAGCAAAGCCTATTCTGTCGTCAAGGGCAACAGGATAGTAGAAGCAGGTTACTCGAGAGAAGCCTGCAGCGATGAACTTCTTGCGCGCTTTGTCGTTCTCGAAAGGCCAGTGCTCTAAGAAGAAACCGTTTACTTCGGCAGAGATTTGGGGCTCTAATCGATGAATCTTGGCGGAAAATCGAGATACTGAATTTGAATTGGTCGGACTGTACTCTCTGCTAATCTTTTCGCCCGAGTTCCATTGTACCTTCGGCGATGACGTTGTAAGAGGGAAGATGAGGGAAGCGAGCGCATGAAGGGAGAACATTGGGACGATGTTTGATACAGCGGACTGTTCCCGCTGTCAAAGATATCAAGTACTTCGTGACGTAGCCAAGATCAGGTTGAGCATCAGTGAAATTCGATGACTGGTGGTGATTTAAGTTTGATTCTACTCAAGGTTTTACTTGAGACGAATTTCGACCTCTGGACCCGACTGCTCGGGAACCCCTGGCCCATCACATCATCTGATGGGGGAATGCTCCGGCAATGTCAAACTCGGAACCTCCCAAAAAGGAAAATCGCCGCGTCAAGCACGGAAACCACCAGACTCTCATGACAAGGGCCAACGGCCACAAGAATAGAAGAACAATGATTAGAATGAGGGGAAGATAAGGACGATAAGTTCGCAAACTATCGATCCCAGTAAGTCAAAAGGCGGTCTGCAGCCTCTTGACTTCATCGACAATGTAGTTGAAGAGATGTAGCGGAAGAACTGAAGAACAGTAAATCAAACCAACAAAGTAAAAGGGAAACCTGCATCTCCCATACGACTGACAATCTTATAACGCCGTGTTTTCAAACAATGCGTAAACCTCATCGTTATTCGCGGAAAATGTCCAGGAAAATGATCTCCACCCTCACTGGTCTGGGACTATGCTAAAGCTTCGGTCTGAAATCTGTCGCAGCTTGCTGTGACCTAGTTTCTTGCAAGTTCTTCTCGCCAAACCATGACGTCCGACAGTCAGATACAGGCCCTTCCAACTCTGTATATCTTTCTCCCAAAGTTAGGATTGTTCTCCCGTTCCAACGGCCGGCGGAGCTCTCCCACGCAGCAGTGTCTTGCCCGTATCCCTGTACCTTCTTTGACTCCGTTGCAAGTGCCGAATACGCAACTGCAACTCCTACGAAATGGGCTGAACTGACTGGAAGACCAGCAGCTATGATTGGTGCGGCCAAGTCCGCTGGAAGTAGCTTGGTGATTGTTGCGGCAGGCGCAACTGTATTGATAGTGATCCCACTATCTCGAAGCGTAGAGCGCATGGCGCGCATGAAATTTACCAACTGCATTCATCAGTGAGATTCCTTCAAAACCTCAAGACAGCACTGTTCTTACCGCTGCTTTTGTGCCACTGTACACCGGTAGTGATTGCTCGGCCAAGTATGCAGTAGCGCTCGACGTGAGAACGATGCTACCTTTCGTCTGGTGGGATCTCATGTTATGCAGTGCCAGCTTGACAAAGTTCAAAGTTCCGCGGAGGTTTACGTCAATAACATCGTAATTCGGCTCGAGCAAGTTGCCCTGGGCGTCGAAAGAGTCGGCGAGGTAAGTACCATCCTCACTCTGCCCAGCATTGGCAACAGCGATATGAATGACACCAACATCGGCAAACGCATCGCGCAGATCAGACCACTGGCTGATATCGCACTTGCGGAACCGAATTGTAGACGGCAATGTCTCCTCAGGCTCTGAGATGTCAAGAATAACAACATCGGCACCCTTAGCCGCCAATACTTTGGCTGTGGCCAACCCGATCCCAGATGCCCCTCCTTTAACAAACAGTCAGGAAAACTGCAGGCTCAGACAATGTTCTGTGATTGCTTACCGGTGATAAGGGCCTTTCTGCCGCTCTGCAGCGGAATATCCTCTTCCTTGATTGATAAGGTAGCCATTTTGGAGTAAGTGTGGACAGGGGCGTCTGCTGGTCTCGGTATCCCAGTCAATCCCTCACGAAGCGGGCACTGACAGAGACTTATTTGACGGTCGCTACTTCGTGCGGATGTATTTTCCCGTGATCGGCGTCTGCCCTGCCAGTTCTGCTTCCGAGTTTGTATGTCGTGTAACCAAACACCGAACCGATCGGCCGGCTGGTGCCGGAGCCAAACATCTGCACGGAGCGCCAGGGACACGGAGTATTTCCGTTTTGGGATAAAGTATCCTCCGTCCTTTGTTCCTCTTACCAGGGTCTGTTTGTCTGAACTCCGAGGTCTAGAGGTCATTTGGTCGGACACGCAAACCCTGGGCCAGCCAATTGAGAAGTCGCTATTACTTTTGCGGTGAGCCTAAACACCGGCCTCCTTCTCATGCTAGCAAGATCCAGCATGCTATGACCTTGGAAGCATCGTTGTGAATTTCGAAACATTGCGTGAACGACCCAACCCAGCTCATGATGGAAATTTTGAACCATTCAGTGCCCACGACGTTATTGTGGGCATTTGCCTTCGTACGTGTTGATCTCGACAGAAGCCTTGGTGGTAGCTATCTTTACTTACGCCACCAGATATGCGCTAGTTTCACTCTGCTGAAGTGGAGGAGAATTCAGCGGCATCCTTTGGCTCGATTCCCAGGACCCTTCACTGCAAAGTTCAGCAATGTAAGTCGGAGATGTGCGTTGGCGTGTTCGTGAAGATGCCCAGCTGACAGGATTTGTCGTAAAGTTCTCTCACTGTCGCAGATTTCTAGGCGGACGGCAGCCCTATGAAATGCTGAAGCTACATCAAAAATACGGTATGCTCTCTCGATATGGTGGACTGCAAGCTGACAGTGGCTGATGATTCAACACGAACCAGGCCCTGTTGTGAGAGTTGCGCCCAATGAACTGTCATTCAACACAGCCCAGTCCTGGAAAGACATTTACGACAAAAGGAAAGGCCACAGCCCGTTCATCAAGAGCGACTTTTATGACGGGGGGAACTTTGCTGCCGAAGCACACTCGATAGTCAGTGTGCGAGATCCCGACAAACATGCACAGATGCGTCGATATCTCCGCGACGCCTTTTCGGATCGTTCACTCAGGGAGCAAGAGTACCTCATTAGCCAAGTGATCGATCACTTCATCGACCGTATCGGAGAGGAGGGAGGCAAGCCTGACGGTATTGATATCGTCATGTGGTTCAACTTGACAACATTCGATATTATCGGTAGTCTTGCTTTCGGTCAATCTTTCGGCGGGGTCTCTTCAGGTTTGTTAGGCCTAAACTTCGGTCACTTCATTTGACGTGAACGCTGATCTTTCTCGCCCCTGATTGTAGGACAGGAGCATCCATGGGTCTCCATTGTGGTTAAAAGTCTCAGAATGGGAGCAATGGCCGATTGCTTCAAAAGGTTTCCTTCGGTTGGAGCAATCTTTCAGAAAATGTTTCCCAGTCTGTTGACAAAGCTAATTGAGGACACGCGGAAACACGAGGCTTACACCATGGAACTGGTTCAAAAGTATGCTACGGATAAATCACATGGCAAGAGCTTATCAGTGGTCTAATTGAATTGTGAACACAGACGAATCAACCAGCAAAGTGACCGAAAAGACTTCCTCACCAAGATCTTGGAGTATCGGCAGACAGACAATCTTTCTGACGTTCAGATTGCAGCGCACTCGTCAGACTTTGTGTAAGCGCTTTTGATCTGTTACTCGACACAAAGTCGCTGACCAAGGGGCAGAATCGCGGGAAGCGAGACAGCTGCAACGGCATTGTCGTGCATCACTTACTACCTTCATCACAACTCCAGCATCCTTGAACAACTCCGCCAGGAAATCCGCACATCATTCAAAGCTTACGACGAGATCAATGACGCTTCAACCACGGGGCTAAAGTTATTGAATGCCGTTATACTGGAGGGAATGCGGATGTACCCTCCACTCCCGTTCCCTCTCCCTCGAGTTGTTCCTCAAGGGGGAGATACAGTTGACGGGCATTTTATTCCCGCAGGCGTAAGTAAAATCTCATTCAATAATAGGGATGAAGCATTTCTGACAGTGTTCGCCCTCGCAGACTGTTGTGTCAACCAATCCTTTCGCTGCTTCAATGTCACCAGAGCATTTTCATGAGCCCTGGGCTTTCAAACCCGAGAGATGGATGAACTCAAACAAAGAGGATATCCTCGAAGCAAGCCAACCTTTCTCACTTGGAACCAGGAACTGTCTAGGGAAAAGGTAAGAGCTTTGAATTTTTTTATTGTGTTTTCGCTAGTCCAAGCTCACTAGCTGACATTTCTTTTACAACCAAAGTCTTGGATGGATGGAGCTGCGTACTGTACTCGCCAAAATGCATTTCAAGTACGATCTGGAGTTGTTGGATCCCAGCATGGACTGGCATGCGTCGTCGCAGATGCACACTCTTTGGCAAAAGCCAACTATGAAGGTCGTTGTTCAACCTGTTGCTCACTGAGGCATAGGACTTGAAACCGCCTTGCAACCTTGAAGGCGTAGATAGAGATATCTTCAGCATCAATTATGCCCAGTAAACGACGTCTTTTCCCATCTAGTAATGCTTTTTCAATGAAAGATGCGAGTCGCTATAAAATAGTATGACGATTCCTGGTTTCGGCGAAAGCTTCCTAAGTTCTCGTAACCGCCAGCCACTCATCGGACAGTAATCGTCTGACTCTCAGCATCTTTCTCGGGGTCCCAGTGACCCACGTATCCATCTCTTCCAGTAAGATATGTCCCTTTAGCCTGTTCTTCCGCTGAAGCACGGAAGACAGCATGTTTCTTGTTTGTCCAGTCAAGGCCCTTCCACACAATGCCTTCCGCGTCAACAAATTCAGCATCCATTTCAGGCCGCAGAAGATAGACGATGGAGTACTTGTGTCGTCCCATCTCATCTTTGTGAGGAATGATGCGATGAAGACTTGACTCCAGCACGCCTCCGGAGATGAAGCGCAGCGCATCTCCGACATTGACCACCGCGTGGCCGGGCTTAGGTGCAATGTAATACCAGGTCTCTTCATTGGGCTTCAGAACCTGCAAACCCGCAACTTCGGTGAAGACAATCGAAAGACTGCCAGCATCGGAGTGCGCGATCTGTCCTACCTTGTCGTTCTCCACCTCAGCAAGCGTGTACTTGAGCAGGCCGAGGGCTGTAGGGCAAACTGCATTCTTCCGGTGGTACTGCTGGTACGCCAGATTGTCTTTCAATCCCAAGGCTTCGGAAATTCGAGTGAGTAGAAGAATGCTCATTTCGCGGAAGCTCGACATAGCTTGTTTGAGTGGGTCAAGCTCATTGGCAATCACCTCCGGTCCAGGGAAAGACGAGGGATCGTCAATCTTAGAAATGGGATGCTCGAACAGCTACGTAAGGTCAACTTCTGAAGGCGATTTACTAAAAGCTTAGTGCAGCTCACCATCAAGCCCTCAAAGCCATCCTTCTTCCCCTCCACTGGTCCGTTTCCATGACCGGCAGGCTTGTATCTAGAGAAAACAAGAATAGTGGGTTAGTCGATTATGTGTTTTTTCCAGATGCTCGACGGTTATTCGTACCCCATAACCAAGTGCTCATCGTGATCTCTGTCAACAAGCCATCTCGACTTTTCTTCTTGGGGAAGATCGTAGAAGCTCGTCGCAAGCGTGTACATGTCTTGAACTTCCTTCATGATCCTGCCTGAAGCGACATGGCGACAGTCGAGGTAAAAGAAGCCAAGGTCTGTGCATGCTTTCAAGAGGTCTTCCTTGACGGATGCATCTCCATCCATGAGCTTTTGGAGAGATACAACCCTCAGGTCTGCGTCCTCCTTAGCGACCTTTTCGGTGAGTGGAATCTGTGCAGACATGCTGGCGGTATAGACGTTCAAGATTGCAATGACTTCGATGAAGCGTTGCTGAAAATCGCGGCGACGTCTTCCCAGGCAGGAACGACGTCAGAAATCCGGCCAGGTCATATCTACGTTGCCAAAGCTGAAGGGTGCCCTGTCCATCGGTGGTGTGTACCAATCGCGTTGACCTTTGCGGGTTTCGGTATTTTCCCCTTTTAGGAAACACCGTAGAGTCACACTGTCAGTATTGCGAATCTGGCCACAATCGCACCCTAACCATCATATCGACAATATTTTGATCATTCCAATCTGCTATACAGTGAGGTGCAATGTGACATTTATGCTAATAAAATATTATCTCGCGACCCGTTCGAACCTTATGTTCAGCGATGGCTTCCACCACATCACATGCATGTGACTTTGCTTCAGCCAATCCAGATCTTCATTCACCAGGTGCAAATTGTATGCGTAATGCATTTTTGCCAAAATGAGGTTAATCTCAACAAATGCAAAGCTAGGTTGCCGCAAAAGTCAGTCAACTGCTGTCATCGGCGAGCGCGATCCTGGCCTTGATGGTTGCCACTTACTTCTTCCCCAAACACCCGCGGGGTCCCAGTGAGAACGGCTGGCTGGCTTCGAGGTTGTCTACACGATTCGTGCCAATCCACCTCTCCGGGATGAAGTCATATGGCCTGTGGAAATTCTGCTCATCGTGTGTCACTGTCCATGCACTTGTGTACACTTCGGTCTTTTGATTGCAAGAAGTTAGCGAAGCTGGCACAAGATTTGATTGTATGAAACTCACTCCTTTTGGAACCCAATGGCCGTCGATAGTTGAGCCAGGACAAGTCCGAGGAAAGCCTTGCGACCCAGGCGGGTACATTCGGAGGCCCTCCGAAATCACCGCCTGTAAATATGGCAACTGCTGGGCGGACATGGCAGTGACATCGTTCAGCGAGCTGTACTTACTGCGGATCTCATGCTGGAGTTTGAGATACGTCGCAGGGTTTTTGAGGAGGAAGAATGTTACTGCCGCTAGGAATGTCGCGACCGTCTCCCCTCCAGCAATACTTCGACCGTTGTCAGCCTGAATGTGCTCATCAAGTTGGAAGCCCTGAAGACTCACACCAAAGTTGACGCATGAGCTGTCATCTCCTCTCGGGATACTTCCCCACTCTTCACCTTCTCCGATACATTTGTCAAAAAGTCGTGTCTCCCAGATTCACTTTGAAGCCGCCTTGGGACCGGTAAGTCAGCTGAGCGTTGAGATACAAGATTTGGGTGATTCTACCTCTCAACTTTGGTTCGGCTGTAGCCTGAGTGACGATCTCGAACGGATACAGTCAGACGAGGAAGCAGTCTTCTTCCAAGAGCATCCAAAATGGGGTATCGGCGAAGGTTGTCGAGAACTGTGACAAAGAAGAGATGTTCCACAATCATATCAGACCAGAAATGAGACTTTCCTAGATGGCTGTATCAGCAGAGAATGAACTGCGACAAATGAGTTCCAGTCATTACCTGTCTCTATGCAGTGGAAGCTCTCTCCAAACGCCATTTCTCCGAGAATGTCAAACGCAACCATTTCAAACCACTTGGTCATATCTAAACCCTTTTCGGATGTCCCGTTGGACTCGAGTCTACCAATAAAGCCATCGACAACGCTATGGACTATGCTCTCTTGCTGCGTAAGTGCTTTGGTTGAAAAAGACGCCGACAGGTTCTTCTTCATCTGCGAATGCTTTTTGGGGTCCCTCTCACTACCGACACAAAGAGATTCAAAACCAGATCCGTACATATCATAGAATTCGCTCTTCTTCATGGTTTGCTTCCCCCCTACTGCGTGGCCATAGATATCTTTCCATGACTGCACCGAAGCAAAGGATAGCTCGTTTGGAGAAATTCTGACCACAGGACCTGTAAATCATTAGTAGCATTCTACAGCTTAAATTTTCAATGCGTAGATAGTTACCCAAACGTTCGTGTTGCTTCTGAATTGCCAGGTGAAAATGACCACTCATGGAATGACGGATTCGCCAAAGCTTGACCTTCGTGTTAGCTTACGCAGAAGCGCTGTCGTTTGTCTCGGACGCACCAAAGATGCCCTTGCCCAGAAAGGGCCAGGAAAGGCAGCCAACGGGTGAAGACACACGTTGTAAATAACATGATAAGTCGCGTATAACACAGTCTGTCATTTGTTTAGAGTTGTCAAATGTGACATTGAGAACGGATGGTAACTTACACATAGCAGAACAGCGACCCACATGACATGGATGGTCTCGATTTTGTACCCGAAGGGTACTACGTTTCTCGTAACAGCCATGATGTGAAACTGGTCGTAGGAGTCTACGATCATCGAGGCACCTGAATGCAATGACCCAGAGAAACATGGACCAGTCTTGCAATATCTTCGAGAATCACGGTCCGTGGTTGAGAATTGGGCAGAAGCCCCTGCGGAGTTTATCCAGAATAGGCATCAGTCCGAGCCCGGCTCCACCTCAACGCCGGAGCGCCGGTCATTCGGAGTTTCGATACCGGCAGTGCACTGGCAACACTGGTGATGCGCGCGCCAATCAAGAGCAAATTGGTATTGTATTGGTATCAATGAGCTAGTTCATTCCCTACTAACATCTCCTTCATGAAAAACCAGCGCTCTCACTTCAATGCTATGTCTCGGCTCTCGACCCTCCATTTCGGGATCTGTAAATGCTGCATGTGGAACCCTTCTCGCCCGCCCATCCGTCTTCCAGTCGTAGCACTTGATGAACATGACCTCCTCTGGGGTCTGCTGGCTTTTGTAGTACCACCTATGCGCCTTGTTCGGCAAAATCGTACACGGTTCTCCCACCCAATCAGGATAAATCAACTTGACCGGAACAATGTCTTTGTCTGGCACCGAGTGAGAGTCGCAAACCGCAAGAGGGTCCTTGTAGATGGTTTTAATCGGCCTCCAAACATTGATGAGTTGGAATCGGGACTTCAAGAGTCTCGGGCCGTCTTCTCCCAAGTGTCGTCTGACCTGATTCTCCGACGCCCATTCAGATTGGTCGATATGGGCGCGCTTGACGGGCCGTCTTTCGTCGTCCGAGCTAGCAGCTGTGGGATTCGGTCTTCGGATTGTGTGATCAAAGATGCAAATACGGCTCGCTCCAGTGCTAGACGGTGTTAGTACACTTTCTACGAGAATATGTTGATAGAGTGCTTACACTTCAAAAAGTAGTTGTTCTATCTCTGGATAATACAGATCCTTGATTTTCTGCTCGTCGATAAATTCCTTCTCTTGGCTGACATGGCGGTGCAGTTGGAAGCCATGGCTGTCGAGCGTGTATTTGTCTTCGCTTCCAGTGATGTCGGTCACGACAGTCTCAAAGTCGATAGATGGATGGACAAAGGTGCTTCTCTTCCCCGCGATGCTAGGTGCATGCTCAGTCCCATCTCCGGGGTCCTGGTAGTAGTTGATCGTGGTCCGGACGTTGCGTGGGACACCCGATGACGATTTTGCTACCTTTTCATCGGAGGTTGCCATGACTGTCCGAGTCGCATCCCAGCAATCAGTGCAGCGCGAGATAACTTCAGTGGTAAAGTTAAAAGTTTGACAGGAACTTAATTCTATTCTTCGGGAATGTGGGCAGAAGAAGGGAAGTACATAGGGGGCCTCCAGAAGATGGGACTTTGACCAAGGAAGCCCGATTAGGCAAGAGGCCGCTCCAATCATTGTAGCCCATCAGCCGGGACAACCTTGCACCTCATAGAAGACAGTCTGAAAGCCGCATGCGCAGCACGCAGATAATCATCAGATGGCCTCATCCCGTCTCGTAAGGACAATAGTCGACTCTTTCACACGTGGCACACGTGGCGGGCATGTATGGAGTCGTCACCTTCATTGCTCTCAAGCTCAATTTCGAATTGACAGCTATGTCGATAGCAGCTTTAAAAGTCCCACGAGATTTCAGAAATTTAAGGAGGCCTCCAAGTTCCCATAGCTTCTATGGCTACACACAAGATCATTTCGTGGTGGACCTAATGCTCCGATACAGCAGGAAGTGGTGCGCGATGTATTCTCATCAAGCGTGCGATTGGTTCAATCTCATGATTACGCCCAGGTCTTGAAGACCGGATGTAGGATTGTCCGCTCGCATATTTCCGAGGTAATTGAGACGCAGGGAATTGGCGTGATATTTCCCCGCAACCTGCTTACCGCCTCACCAACGTCAGGCTTGTTGCGGCAAGAACGTATTTTGGAGTCTTCTTGCGCCTCTGTGAAAATGGATACGTCAAGTCAATATGAGACGCCAAGAGCATTTCCCAGACGCTCAAGGCAGAGTTATCATGTCAGGAACACCAGTCTTGGAGAGCCGTATTACGTCTGAGGGTACCATCGAGCTTGGTGTCATCACTTTGCCTCCAGCAGAATCGAACGAGCTTGCGCAGCGATCAACGAAGACCGACATCGTCGATCAATCCTCGAGACTACCCTTTGGTCGCTTGATGTCCGCTTATCTCTGCCTGGCAGCCATCTACTTCATCCAAACACTCGACATCAACTCCGTCGCGACAGCGCTCCCAGCCATTGCTCGATCACTCGGTGCAGGAAATAGCATTACGTGGGCAGGAACAGCTTACCTCATGGGACAGACCGCCTTCCAATCTCTGTACGGACGCTTGTCTGATATCTTTGGCCGCAAACCCGTCTTGCTCGTGTGCATCGGCTTTCTCGTGGGCGGCGATCTCCTTTGCGGCTTTGCTCGCACTCCGTTATGGCTTTATGTCTGTCGAGCGCTGAGCGGTGTCGGCGGCGGGGGGATAAGCTCGCTAGTTCAGATCACAGTCAGCGATCTAGTGAGCTTGAAGGACCGTGGAAAGTACCAGGGCATGCTGAGCGCATCCATAGGCCTCGGCGCCAGCACCGGTCCTTTCATTGCAGCTAGCATGCTGCGCAAGGGCAATACGGGCGGTGTCGAGGCATGGAGATGGATATTTTGGGTTCCTCCTATCCTCGCCGCGGCGTGTGCGACAACCATTTGGCTTTGTCTGCCATTAAGACCCGTCACCGGAAGCTGGCGTGAGAAGTTGGCCAAGATTGATTGGTATGGTCTGGGTGCCGCAATGGCAGGAGTGCTTCTCCTCTTGGTGATTGCTTCCCGCATAACTTTGAATCATCAATTTCTGTGCTAATAAGTTGTAGATCCCTCTTAACTCAGGAGGAAGTATCTGGTCTTGGCACAGCGAGCATGTGATCACAATGCTCATTTTAGGTGGCTTCTTCTTCATCATATTCGCCGTCATTGAGAAGTCAGTGGCCAAAATACCGTTGATCCCGCTCCGTCTATTTGGCCAGAGATCGACGGCAGTCATGTACGTTCAGAGCGCTTTGTATGATTGCGTCTGGCAGGTAAACCTTTACTTTCTCCCCATCTATTTCCAGGAAGTCCGCGGGTACAGCCCGTTGAGGAGTGCGTCTCTTACTCTGCCTCTTCTGCTGATTCACAGCGCTGCTGGGGTGGCATCGGGTCCAATCATGAGTAAATCCGCGAGGTAGGAGACTTGAATCGAAAGCACTTGAAAGTGTTAACAATAGGCATGCAGATACGCGCCAATCCTATCCATCGGTATGGGTTTATGGACCCTCGGATCGGGTTTGAAACTCGTCTTTTCGCGCACAACTTCCATCAGTATCTATGTAACGGTTCTTCTCATCGAAGGCACCGGAATCGGTTTCGTCCACCAGCCGGCTCTAGTGGCCCTCCAGGCCCTCTCAAAGCCTGAGGATCGCGCTGTTGCGACTTCTACGAGAAATCTCATGCGGATGCTTGGATCCGTGGTCGGAATGGCTCTCTCGACGGCAGTGCAATACTCGGTAATGAAATCAGCTCTGCCGGCAGACCTGCCTGAGTCGATTCGATCAAGTGTAACTGGTGGAACATGGCAGCGTGGGGATGCCGTCTCTCATGATTGGGAGCAGGCAATTCTGGATGCCAAGATGAAGGGCGTCCACATGGTCTTCGTCATGCTTGTACCGCTGATGGTTATTTGCCTAGGAGGATGCTGGTTTATCCCAAACGTTGCATTGATGGGTGATGAAGAACGTCGAGGTACACAATCGGAGCAGACACAGTAGGTCGGATGCGCAATGCATCGACTATTTAGATATGAAGGCATCTTCCGCCTCACGTTTGACAGAAGAATGGTTGACTCGCTAACAGTACCTGCTGGCTTGATCAGCTCATGTTGTTACCAACAATCTTCCTATTAGATACCGCGCCCCTCTTTCGTTGATACCTGTACTAGATTTTCGTTAACTCAGCCTGCCCTCAGGATCATGGGCGATATTTCGACAATATTTCCTCTGGTCCGGACCTATGAGCTTTGGGCACCTCGGTTGGAATACCACACAGCCCCTTATTCATTGAGACAGAAATAGCCGGGGTTCAATTTGTTTGAATAAGTTCATACAACTGACAGACTCCTCCGAAACATCCACTCTCCGATCACGAGACGTCAAAAACACACAATCGATGATTGGCTCTCAAGCGACGGCAGATGATACCTGTCAAAATATCCGGCCACCTGTGCTGCAACCGTCTTGGCATGTGCCAATTTATAAATCTTCCAAATTCGTATTGTGATTTCCTATTACACGAATAACACCTTCTCCGCATTTTCCAAGACGGATGCGTGTTGCGCTCGATTTGGTTGAGCTTAATAGGCTAAATTTCCACAACTCGGCAGTTCGAGAACGCCCACGTCGGTTTGCAGGAGGGGCTTCCGTTGGCGATTTCGAACGGCTTGATGGTGGTGCAGGTATGGAAAAGCGTTAATGGGACAGTGAGAGGGACTGAGTGATGAGTTGGAACTATATAAGTGATCCCAGTTTCTGTCGAAATAGGACTGAAAACCTCTGAACAACACGCCAAACACAACATCCTCAACTACAGATCTTCTTGCGACAAATTCCCAAGATGAAGTATATTCTGATCCTTTCTGTGGTTTCTGGTGCTCTTGCCTCTCTCAATTGCACCGCCACAGCAAATGTCAAGACGTACTGCTGCCCAGACACCAACTCTGAGGTCGTCAAGACCGGACCCACGGGCGCCTTCATCATGATGGGCTGCGCCGCCGACAACACCAACAAGTCTGTCTCTCACTTGAACCCCCCATGGCCTCCTCACTAATGCGGACAGGAACTGGTACTGGAATTACAACGGGCTGTACACGGCCTATTCGACCCAGTTCAAGGACTGCTACCTGAACACTATCCCATTCAACGACCTCAAGGGTAAGCTTCTCTTCTCCTCCGTTCTCTCTTCGAGGGAGGACATCTTGGATTCGGCGGTGGAAAAGCTGACCTGAGTGGCGTCACAAAGTCCTTCCGGACTGCAAGGACGATACCTACGTGCTCGACCTCACTCGTGGCAAATCCGGGCCCCTTGACAAGTGCAACCCCAACTGCGTCAGCCAGAACAAGTTCCCTGCCAACACCTACTTTGGTGATCGACAGAAGGAGACCAACATGGCTTCGGACTTCCCGCGTCCGGGTGGGAGCGGTGGTGGGTGGCCATGGAGGGGCAGGCAGCGACGGACTTGAGCTGCGGGAGCTGTTCCGTTAAGTCGGTGAGATGGAATTATAAGGCTTGGGGACACACTCGCTTCACGTTGGTATTTCCTTGTTATTGATAGGTTGAGCAAATCAATTATAGTCGATCCAGCAGACTTGCCTGCGTCTGATCCAAGTACTAGCATTAAAGAGGGTGAAGTTAAATATCCAATCAACGCCAGGTTTCCAAAAACAACGAAAACTCAAAAAGGTATCAAAAGTAGGCCGTAACAGCATATCATCCGAAGCCTCCAGGTCCAATCTATCCTCTCTTGTTATTTCGCCGCAGCCACGGCCGGTTGCGTCTGGGCGGGAGGTGCCGCCGCCACAGGAGGAGGAGGCGCAGCAGAACTCTCGCCTCCTTCGTGCCCGTGCCCGAAAAGCTTCTTGATACTCTTGGGGTCTTCGATGGCGTCCAGAGCCTTTTGCGTGGTGCTCTTGTGCCCATGCTCCCCCGCACCCTCCATTGAATCCAACTCGCTCTCGCCCGAGCTGAGAGAGCTGGAGCTGGGGCTGCGGTTGAGCACCATGTTCACCATCTTGCCCTCCTTCTTCTTGATCTCGACCTGCTCCTTCTTCATCTTCTGCAGCTTCTCGTCTTCGCAATGCATCACGACGATGCCCATGCCAGGGAAGTTGGCCTCGAGGAACTCCTTGAGCTTCGGGAGGATGGACTTATCGGGTCGGTAGGTGCCGGAGTCGTTGTCGATGGTGAGCTGGTAGTGAGCGGGGTTGTGCGGGGGGTGGCCATTCGGCGGGCCGCCGGGCAGCTCGTCTGAGGGGTGTGTCTTCTCTTTAGGCTCGGGGTCCTCCGAGGCATCCGGCTTCTCGAGCCGGCGGACGAAGAACTCGCCTGAGCAGGCGATGTAGGTTTCGACGTCGCTGTGCATGGTGTGCTTGCTAAGCATGTCGATGCTGAATTCCTTTCCGGTTTCCGTGAAGCGGAACATGCCGTCAAGGGTCAAAACATATGTGAAGATGCGGCCTCCTTCGTCGAAGTGGACCATCTTGAGGAACTGGAGGGCTGCCTCCTCGGATCGCGCTTTGAAGACGCCGTACTCGGTCGAGCTGTCAAAGTTGTAGACACGGTTGTGTTGCTTGTGCAGGGCCTTGTTGAGAATCTTGCCTCGCAAGCCACTCTTTGCGAACATTAGGCCGATCATGGGCCTGAACTCCACATAACGGTGGTAAAGCTCAGGTGGCACTGGGCCTGAAAGTTGCATCTCATTCGATTGGAAGCTAGAGAGTTAGAAAACACGTCTCGCGATAGAACAGATGAGGAACCTACTCGTATTTGGTCGTCTTCTTCTTGTCCTTGTTTTCGTCCTCGTCGAAGAGTTGATCAGACCGAGCATCTTCATTTTCGTCTCTGTTGACCTTGACACCGGTGAGGCGACCGATCATAGGGCTGAAGTGCTTGAAGTAGCTCGTGGGGCCCACGGTGTACATCTGCGCGTGAGGAGGGTTCGACTTCCCCAAGACTTCCATGCTAATCCAAAGCCTCGGCGACATGTCTACATTAGGGTCAAAGTGGCTGGTGATGGCCTTGAAGAAGTACGCGCGCTTGCTACCCATGCGCTTCTTCGCGATGAACTCTTGGCCAGGTTGCGGGTAGCCCTGCCAGTCCAATCCCACATACGGGACGCGGACAGTGACATTGCCGAGACGGTCATCGTGGTCGGGGTAATCTTCATCGTAGAGCCGGCACTTGATGATGAAACCATCGGAAGGAATGTTAGCGACAACCCACTCGTCGTTCCACACGGGCTCGGTCGTCGTTCTCTCCGTCTTTGTTCGATGCGTCAGGTCTGGGTCCTCTTTGTGGCGCTTGGGGACAGCTGCCTTGAGTGTGACGTGGATGTAGGGGTCCGACGATCTGGTGCCCAGGTCTGCAGCAGGCAGGTTCGAGGCTTTGTGGAAGATGAATCGCACGGTGTACCCGGGAGGCGCATCTGGGAGGGGGGTCTTGTCGAAGCCGCCAGAAGGCTGGGTCTTGTCCTTGACCTTCTCTTTGCTCTCGGCATAGAGTTCCTTAAGATTGCTGGAGCGATGATGCGGCTTCTCGTTGGGGGTCTTGTGACCGTCAGCATTGGGATTCTGCTTACTCTCGATTCTGTCCTCGAGAGCCCCCTCCTTCTGTCGCGGCAACCCGTCCCCTTGAGTTGAGGGCCCACCGTTTGCTGACGGGTCATTGCCCTCAGTAGCTATTGCAGACGGTCCGGCTGCTTCCAGAGACGTTCCGTCTAACGCGGTGCCATTTGCCGCATGGCCGTTGGCGTTTGTCGCGTCCGACGTGCCATTCGGTAGATGGCCGTTCGTCGTCGGGCTGTCGGTTGCTGAGCCGTTCGGCGCATAGCCGTTGGGAGCATGACCGTTCGGCTGTTGCTCAGGAGCCTGAGCCGACACGCGAGGCTCATTGCTCTGCTCAAGAGGTGCGGTCGCATTAGAGATGCCAGGCCCATCAGACGGGCCGTCAGAGTGTGGATGCCCGTTGGGACTTTGCTCTTCCGCGGCCGACATTTTCCGCTGACAGCGAGAGGCGATGGGGGCGGAAATAAGCTTGTTTGCTGTCCGAGGTCAAAGCAGGCGTCGTGGCTGATGCGTGTTGTCTCTCAAGATCGGGCGCCAAAACAGATGACTTGAAGAGGACCCTGGCGGTTGGCTAGACTGGCGAGATCTGAAGAAAAAAGCCGATGGTCGAAGGGGGAAAAATAGATAGCGGCGGGAGATCCTGTAGAGACCCTGCAGTGCAGCGCTGTCGTGGCCGTTGCCAAGACCGCAGATCGGTTCTGGGGGTGGTAACCTTGCTGGGCTGGGAATGCCGCGTGCCAATGATGTCTTCAGTGGACCAGAAAGCTTGGCATCTGGCCCGTGTTTTCCGCTTTCAGGGAGCTGGCTGATAAGATGAGGGGAGCTGTGGCTTAATTGTGCGACAGACAAAACCTAGAAGAGAGTGATTCAGTGGCGGGCGTTTGTCTGGCTGTAAGGATGATTCGTCTTTGAAGTAAGGTATCCAATGTCAACAGTGACGTGGTTGTAGGATGGTAAGGTAAGATGAGAAAAGACTGCAGAGATTGCATCTACCTAAAAGAAGAGGCGCGTGTTGGCTGGGGAGGCAACCAGGGGGGGTAAGAGAGATAATAGGTGAGGGGCTGGGAGCAGAGGTGAGGGGAGGGGGGTCCTAAGGTTATCACAGGCCGGCTAGCAGCCAGCCAGCCAGCCAGCTGAGAGAAAAGAAGAAAAAGCCCGCGACACACAGAGAGCACCTCAGAAAAAAGAGCCCAAGCTTGCGATCAACAAAGCGTCGCAAGCACCATCCAGCTGGCATTGGAAACTGACGTCATTTGGACAAGATTCGGTGGTAAGGTGCGGCTAGAACGTGCCGAAGCCGGGGTTAGCTTGTCATCTTGGCTGCTACATGGCTCATTGGTCCCTGCTAAGCCTGCTTGGCCGCAGCTGACCGGTTTTATCCGACTTGCCTTCACATCAGCACATGTTTCACCATCACGAGCCTTCCAACCTTGCATGTTGGTTGCCTGTACGTAAAATCTTATGTGGAGAGACACCTGCATTCTGGAAGCCGAGGGGCCCGTCTTCCAAGACCAGACCGCCCATTACTAGGCAATTAGCTCATGTCTTGCCCGTTTAGGATGGTGGGGTAGATGGACGCCTCCGATTGTTCTGCAGGATCCGAGAGACCGGCCATTCGCTCCGTGTCTCGGCAAAGACCCACTGCCACTCCGGGCTGCCTCCGGCCCGGTCCGGAAGCTTCTGTAAGTGGCTTGTTGCTGTCAAAAACATATAATGAATTCCAAGGTTCTATCAAGATCTCATATCACCCATCAAGGCTCCCAATGACATGGACAACGTAAAGAGTAAGTCCTTAGGCAACAGAGATTGATGATTGCCTGGATATAATGTATCATAGACGATAAGCTGTAAGTCCCTGGACTGAGAGACGAAATATGTTGCTTCATTGTTTCAGATGATCGATTCAACTTACAAGGACGGTGGAAATGCCTCGTTTCTTCCAAGCTTTGACGGAAGATAAACACGTACATCTTGCATAAGTATTCAATGATGACCTCGTGAAATGTAGGTCAATTCAGTTGCACGCTAGAAACAGCGGTCTCACTGAAGGAATACTCATCAAAGACTTGAATAATGCTATCTCCAAGCGGATACGCCATGGAACTCAGCTGGTGGGCAGCATCAAAGCCGCAGTCTGCTCACCAGCCGCACAGCACCTCAGAAGCCTGCCCTCGACGACATAATCAAGGGCACAAACGAAACAATTTCAAAATTCCAGAAAACCCTGCGTCCCTCGAGATTTTTCCTCCTCTCACCATCGTCAGCTTTGCTGTTTCTTGCTTGCGACACCACAACCTCAGACCTCCAGGCTACTTTGGAGCAAAGCAAATCAACCATGGACGACCGCGGTAAGTGCTCCATGAACCCTCATAAATATTGGCGTGGAATTCCGCGTTCCATGACTTCATCTACCCCGAGAATGTAGCCGGTGCTAACTGTGAAAGTAGACTCCTACCTCTAAGATCGAAGCAGCATGGAGGGCACCGTGCAGTACGTCCCGTGAGCCCCTATCGCTTACATACATGCCGTCCTTGTTCCCTGGACTGACTTCCTTGCAGGCCCGAGTTGGCGTATCCGGAGGGTCCTCTTGTCAAAAGCGACGATGCGGCTGACCAGGGTCATACCGTCTCCGACTCGGCTGCCTCGCCTTCTCCCATCGCCTATCAGGACCAAGGAAGCAACACCGCCGGCGACATCACCATCGACGAGGACGACCGTGCTCTCTACCAGTTGCTTCGTTACCAAGTCGATCCTGAGATCTTCTCGACCTCTTCTGACCCCCAGCCTACCGGATCAGTGCCCACACCCTTTCCCTACCCTGTTGTGGGCGCGAGCGTTCCCAGTTACATCGCCGGCAACAACAACACAGGCCAGCCTGGAGTATTTGCCTCCCCCTCTTCCAACAACGCCTCCTTGGACACTCATGGTTACTTTCATTCGACCGGTTTTACGAATGCTGCTTCTAGCAACAACCTCAACCTCAACGCCCCAGTTGCTGCTATGACCACTGCCCCTACCGGCACCGCGTCTTTAAACATGAACGCCGTCTCTACCAACACTGCGCTCGCCAATGCCCCTCCTGTCAACGCCGCTCCTGTCAACGCCGCTCCTGTCAACGCCGCTCCTGTCAACGCCGCTCCTGTCAACGCCGCTCCTGTCAACGCCGCTCCTGTCAACGTCGCCCCAGCCAACACCGGCCCCGTCACCGTCGCTTACCAGGGACATCCCCTCTACAGCCGCCGCCGCCGGAACCGCATCGGCACTCGCGGCTGCCACGTGAACAGCAGCGGCATTGACCGGCCCGACCCTCCAGAGCCGCTCCCCATCCCTGGACCTCCGGCCGGAGCCCCTCCCGGCGTGACCTATCCTCTCTCTCGAATGGCATACATGCCTCCTGGAACCCCTTTCTACACCAGCAGCGGCCAGAAGCGATTTCCATGTAACCGGTGCGGTCTCGTGCGATCCAGAGAAGATGAAACTCGATTTCATCTTCGTGATGTTCACTACCGTGAGGAGTATGAGTGGATTCATTACGGAAATCATGAGCAGGGCTTATACTACTTCGGCATCGACCAGTCTAACATGGACTGCCCTAACATTTAGGGCTATTGTGTCGTCTGGTCTGGTCAAAGGGGATAGAGAGAGGTCGAGACATGTTGCTCATTGGAATGGAACCCGGGAGGCACTGAGGCCGAGAGGCTTTTGAGATGGAACTACCGGCCGTTCCCCGGAACATTGATTCGCATGCCGCGCAGAACTAGGTCGTTGACAGGTTTCGTGGCCTTCCCTTCAGATGCGCTGTTCATAGATCTCATCGGGCCTGTAGGGCCATCGTTACTCAAGGCAGATTACAAGCAAGGTTCTCCATGATTTTGATGGAATGAGTGTGTTGGATTTTCTGCTACGTGAAATGAATGCGTGATGGCCATCTGAGCTGAGTTGTTTGCGAAAAATGAACGATAGGTGCTGAGCGGACAGACTCAACAACCTTGGAGAAAGGAAACCATCCGTACAGCTGTCACCTCCAGGGAGAATACTACCCTTAGATGTGACCAGAACTTCCCTTGATTCCATCTAACACACCACTTTGAAAGACCATCGAGGCTGCGTCTGAGTGTTGAGACAGAATCCACCCTTAAAGGTCCTCGGGTTCTTGCCACAAGTTCCGTCCTCGTAAGTATAGACTGTTCCCCGGTTGTCAGCATCTCCTCACATATTATTCCTCGGCGATATGGCTTACTGAAGCAAGGGCCGCGGATAAGATTGATTCCACGAGTGTGAGCCGCAAGGGTGACACACTGGTTGCGGTTGTAAGTTCGATGGGGCCCGCCGGAGCCCGAGTTACACGTGTTTGTACCGAAGAGCTGCAAAGTTACAGTGTTGGCCTGGCGGGCTTCGAGGTCCTCCAAGTCTCTGGCTTCGACTTCCTCGACGTCCCAGGTGTGAAGTTCATCGATCTCTCGTGCCACGATGTCTTCGGGAGCTCGAGCGGCGACTTCGGCCACTGGGACCTCGACGCCGACGGCCTCAGGGGCGGGTGCTGCGAGAGTAGAGGGCACCAGGACGGTGAGGGCGGCGGGGGCGATGTTGGTGAAGAGCATTTTGAATGAGAATCTTCTGTTGGGATGTTTGATTGGTAGTGAAGTAGTTTGTTCGAGTGTGTTTGAGTTGCAAGTGAGAAGATCCAGGAAGGAAAAGGACGAGAAATCAGCCAAATTTATAGCTGAGATTAGAGTGGTGAACGTCTTTCGTCTCACAGATACTCGGAAAACCTATCATCATCTTCAGATGGCCTGGTTGAGGGATATGGGCTGACATGCCCAGGACACGCTGCTTTCGATCACTTGGCAATTTTGTTCGTCGCCCGAGGCGTTGAAATCTGCCTCACGTTCTCATGTGGACGTTCGTAAGCAACGCCGTTGTTAACTCAATGGTTCATCCGGAATGGGTAAACAGAAGTCGTGGATATGACATCTATGCGCATTACTTCAACCAGAGTATCTCTCAACCAGCAGGTATTGTGCCTTGCTGCAGGTATACTAAGGAAAGCTGGGAACTTGCTAGATTTGGTAGAAACTTGTTGTAAATGTGAACTGGAAATCTTGGCCGTACTGAAATTCTCCAATAATGAGCGTGTGGATGCTGGTAACATTCATGAACTGCACTAAACAGCCACACTCTCTAAGACAAGCTGATAATGAAGGAGTATCAGGGCTTGGAAATTGATATGTCGATCGGTCGAATACATGTCAGCTGTGGCGGGGTATTGGTCTCCAGCCAAGCGTTGCGAGAGACAGATCATCTAGTTGGATGTAAACCTCAGAACTACATTACTACCTCTAAAAGCACTAATTAGATTTGGACATGGCGACGTGGGACGAGCAACGGTATTGAGGCACCCTATAGTGCAAAGATTTGCAACGTTTCTTTACGAATTATTGCTCTGATCTTGCTAGCTCTTCCCGTTCAGAATTTCTGTCATATGACCTGAATTTCTGTGGTCACGGCCAGCGACAATTGACTGAATCTGGAATGCTTTCCCAAAGCCCTCATACTCGCAAGAAAGAACAGCGGGAGTTTTGAACTTTCAATAAACCCCATAATGATCCAACTGTGAATGTTTGATTAATAGCCCCATAGAGTAGGCTTTTCCATCTAACTTGCTCGGCGACGACGTCCTTTAGTGTCTCGCTTTCTACTTCAGTCGTCAAACAGACGGAATAAGGCACACGAAGTCGTTGTATTATCTTTTGGCTTATGACGACCAGAATGATTCTGATGCCTATGCCATCTTCAGTCAAAGTCCCTGGTGGCATGAAACTCGGTGAGTGGAGAACGGTACCCAGTTCTTTCTTAAATGGAAGCCCTCATGGTATCACTACGATGGAACGCATATGAGTGGTCTGCCATTCTCAGAAGTCTAAAGTGCCTTGTCTCAGAGAAAGTTGTGATCGACCTCCCCATGGGGTAAATTGCGGCTCGGCGCGATGGTCTCACATTGGATGCCGCAGACGTCGATTCCATAAGACAAGTCTCCGGAACCACCCGTTCTACCAGACTACCAATTCCATTTCTGAAGAGAGTTGAAGATCTGCAGCTGGTGTTCTGTATGTTTTCATCACGTCTGCATACTAATTGGTCATCGTGTTCGTATTTTGTGTCGATATGTCTAAGTGGGTTGTTTCGTTGATTGTTTCGGTCCGCCTACAACTGGTGCCTGTTTCCTTGGCCGGACTTTGGCCCTTCTAGGGCAACTGATGTCCACACTCACACAGGAGGTACGTTGCTTCGAGCCTTTCACCCGTTTCCGGTTGGATGTCCTGACTGTAGTGCCAAAGGATCGCCTATGTGACTTACAGACATTCACAAAATACTTGCATACGCAGCATGTCTAGAAACATACGATGAATTTTATCTACACGGTGAGACATGAGTGTGCGGGTAGGTGGAAATTGCCTCAAAGGCGGGCACGTGGCGGGCTACCTAGCATCTGGCAGATAGACGGGCAGACTGTGCTAAAGAGTGTCTGAAGCTAATAACTGGGCAATTGATGCAGTGCGACCGCCGTGGTCAGGAATGCAGGAAAGGCTCTCGCACAATTGTGGCGAGCGTATTCACTGCATTCTTAACCCACCCCTAGGCAATCAAGCCTACAACACCGCATTATCTTGCGGCATCTCGGGTAAAGGCAGACAGACATACACCTTCAGGTACGTATCAGCAGCGAAAAGTCGGTCAACAACACCCATCCTCACCGTTCTCTGCACTGCAAACTTAACCCCTCCAGAGACAGCGTCCCAATCAGGCCTACGATTGTCTACCTCGTCTACATCACAACGCACTCACAGCACAGCCAACGATTTGCAAACACTCAGGACATATCATTATGCTCGCCATCTATGTCAGTCTCGGAACACCAGACGCCTCGGCCCAAGTATGCACGTAAAAGTCTAGCACGGAGAGTATCCATTTCCAACCATCAAATACCAGTCAGCCAGCCCTTGTCCCTCCTCATTGCCGTCCACTCGCGCAAAACACGCTTCCCAGGAAGGGTCGCCCCTTCAAATCAGGTCTTCGTGCCCGGTGTAAAGTCCCCGCGAACCCGACACTTCTATCCGGGTATCAATCCATAACACAAACATGCCGCACATCACCCCTTGGATTTCCAATGTCCGCTCGACAGCGTACCAAACTCCGGGGCAGGGGAAGTTGTGCGTCGACGAATGCACTCCCAAGACCCCAACGCTCCGGACCCTGCAAAGCCTCTCACGCCCCTGCTAGTGGTATTCCGCGAGGGGCAAGAGCCAACATCCTCTACCCGATGCTACTCGGAAACGATCTTTGTATGTCGATGTATCCGGCAGACCGTGTCTTCCTAAAATCATGGTGTATATCAGGGTATCAATCTCGTCATATTGCAGCAGGTGCTCTAAGAATCGCCACCAGCAGGTCGTGATCGCTGTGCTACCACTTCCCGTGCGTAAAACTCCACCAACATGGTTGCATACGCCTCCAGGTCTTCAACGGGGACCGCAAGTCGGAAGTCGTTCAACAATAGAAACTGCAGCTCAAGGTGATTGAGCTCGGCCAAAGGAAGCCCGCCGACCTGTAAGCTGTCAGAGATGGGGTCACATTGCGTCGAAACTGACGTTAACATACCTTTGCGTATCTAGAGTTGGTGTAGAATACGTCCGAAAAGAACTTGCTCGCACAAGTTACGCCCGCAATAATTAGCCGGTGGATATTAAAGCTGTCAACAACAAAGTATGTCGCCGGTCCGGAGGCTCCCGGAGGCGTGGGCTGCGGAACGATGCCTCCGTCGGTAGGAGTCGCCGTCTTTTCGTTCACGTCCTCGTCATCGGCGAGATCCGAGTCCGTCTCGTCACTGTCTCTCATGTCTACGTCTGCAGACTGCGGACGCGAGGTTGACTGGGAAGTTGACTGCCGTCGGGCCTCCTCGTGCTTGACCACCATCGCGTTGACTCGTTCCGTCATACGGTCAAAGTATACTAATAAACTCAAAAAGACTTCGTACGTGGTGGGGCAGTACTTGTGAATGCGGGAGAGATAGCTGAGGATGGTGATGGCAGGGATATTCTTGCCATGGAAAGCAAGGACCGAGGTGCTGAGAGGGCTCATCGGAGTACCGTTGCCTGACTCGTTATTCTGGCTGGCTTGCTGTTGGTGCGCCACGTTTCGCTGCATGGCATCGTGTTGCAGATCGTTGGTTGTGGTGATTTTTGTAAGGAGAGCGGCCACCATTTCGATAATATCGCCAATGGGCATGGCGCTGATCTCGTACTTCATCTGTTGAAGGGGAGGATCGTTCAGTATCCCTGGCCCATTGCCCGTAACCATATCTGCCTTGGCAAGGCTCTGAATGTGCGCCAAGTCGCGCACATGAATCGTAGTCTGGCCCTGAGGCTGCTGGCGGGGAGAAGAGGTATTGGACATGGGGTACGAGGGAGCGGCAATGGCGTCGCCGTCGGAGGCAGGGGAGGGCTGCTGTTGGTCTTGGCGCACGGCCGGAGTAGAGCTCTCAGGTGCAGCTACAGCAGCAGCATGGCTGGTATCGCGAGATTCGGTGGCCATGCATGCGGGGCTCTCGGCATGCTGAGGCCTCGCTCGAGTAGGCGAGGAGGACGAGGGGGGGGAGGGGAAGCGAGATGCTCCGGCACTAGGCGGCGCGTGCTTCTCCGGGGGTTCAGCGGAATCCCAGTCGGGGCGTCTTTGACGCGAGGGAGGAGTGTTTGTGTATCTAGGGCTCGCAGAAGGGCGTCTTTGGGTAGCGTCTCTTGAACGACTGGCAGATCGGTAGTGTGAATCGTGCGAGTGTTGGTGCTGAATGCCAGAGGCGGCGATCATGTTATGGAAGTGGGAGGGATCGGATACGAAGTCACCGATCACAGCAGCCATAGCATCGTCTTATTCCAGAACGGACTGAATTACGATTAAAGGTGTTGGAAGCGGCAACTGCGGTGGAACTCTTGTTAGCAAGACTGCATGCCCACAATGTTATTACGAAGAAAAGGAGGAGCAGGTTTCGGCGAGAGCGAGCGAAAGGAAGACATGATGACAATGGTGGGTTGGGTATTTGGATCTGAAGGAGTTGACGGTTGCGTGACGATGCCCAAGGCTCCAGCAGTCACGACGAATGCCGGCGGCGACCGAGTAATCGAAGCTGGTTCAATGGTCGCACTCGTACGATGACGAACCCGTGAGGCAAGGGTCATCGTCCCCGAGCGACGGCTTATCTGCGATGGCGCAGATTGGTCGGGCAGGACTGGCGGGACATTGACCAGGGCCGTTACGCGCCCACTTGGAGGTTAGGCGAGCAGCAACGGTCGTAAGGCAGCCCAAAAGCTGTCGAGCAGACAAGGCTCTTGCCCGACGACATGATTGAGCTTCGACTACCAACCAGCCAGCAGGCCACATTCTCGTGCGCAGGTACGATCGACGTCACATTTGGGTGCGTGAAAAAGGAGAGGGCGATAAGGGAAGGAACCACGTGCGATTGCAATGGCAGGGAAGGTGACGGACATGAAGAAAGCGCGGCGCGGGCGAACAATGCAAAAGCACTCACCTAAGTCGTCCAACGGGTGGAGAGAGGGCCCGTCGACAGGCGATAATTCTAAATGGTATGAATAGATGTAACGGGGCGAGGAGAGAGAGTCGACGCGGTATTCCAGCGGCGTGTCTCGGTGCTATGTTGGTGATGGAGGGGAATTATTGGCCCAGTGCAAACAAGCAGCAGGGTCTCGACGGGTGGGAGTCGTAGTAGGCAAAATGTTGAGGGGTTTAGGTCGAATCGGGAATTCGAGAGCGCTCAATAGACAGTCGAAACCAATGCCGAGCGGAAAATAGGCAGATACGGGGGCGTCGGGTTTGAACAAAGACGAAGACGACGGAGGCGGTGATGGCGACTATCGCGGGAGGAGAGGGGAAAATACCGTGTCGGGCTCGTCTGTCGGACGGTGGACTCGGCGAAAGTCGCGATGCTGTTTCTGTTCCGTTTCGCAAAACGTGTGCGATAAGGCCCGAAAAAACACAGGAACAAGGCGAAAAGAAACCCTCCTTCTTGGATGTCGTCGTACGTCAGGTCTGGTGGAAGACGAGACGATGTGAGAAAAGGTAGGTGGACTGGGGGGGAAGAAGTCGGGGGGAGTGGCGGATGGATGGATGAATAGAGAAAGCGGGTGTTGGTGGATGTGGATGGAGGGATGGTTGGATACCTAAGGTGAGGTAAGGTGCGGGCGGGAAGCTGAAGCAGCAAGAGGGCGTGGGCAGCAAGAGCGACGACGACAGCGACAGCGACAGCAGGAGCAGCAGCAGCAGCAGCAGCAGCAAGTGCGATGAAGTGCGGCGGGAGACAGGTACCTCTACCTTCCAAGTTACTGGGTGGGAAGGTACGGCTACAAAAAAAGGATGGAGGGGAAACCACGTCTGTGGCCTGTGCCTGCCCAGTGCTGGTCTGTCGAAAACAAGAGTGGATGATGGGCCGGGCTGGAACGGGGACTGCACCGGGACTGGGACTGGGACTGGGACTGGGAGCCACCCGCAGCAGGAGCGCACAGGCGTTGGGTTGGGCTGGACGGTTGGTCTGGCTCTGGCGCGCCGCGTGGGGTCGCTGTGAGTCGTGTCGAGCGGGTTTGGCTTGTGAGACTGAGCTTGTGCAGCGTCAGTCAGTGTAGGTGTTGTTGTTATTCTTCTGTCTTTCCCTGCTTGGGTACCTGGAGGGACGATGGTGATATGATGAAAGTCGTGGTCTCTCGCAAAGATGTAGTAGTATCTGTATATGATGCTTGATTGAAGAAGAAGAAATGGGTAGAACAAGAAGTACCCGTACAAGACGAAGACCAAGACCCTGGGGGCGATTGGCGGTCTGGTGGAGCCAGATGAGGTAAATGGCGAAAAGTGGCCGTCCCAAACAGAACAGGATGAGCAGCGAGACTCGTGTCCGTGGCTCATGCGACTCGCAGTGTTTGTGTTGTGTTTGTGTGAAATGACTTGTACAGCTGTACTCACAGCTCGCTCGCAGCTCAGCTTTCTCGATACCTTAGGTGCTGGAGATTGCGATGTGCTGGTGCAAGTGCAAGTGCAGGTGCATGTGTTGCGCTGGACTTGCAGACCCAAGTTGCGGTGTCTGTGTGTGTTTTTGAGATCTATTTTCCCCGTAGCGACTTTATTTAGCTACGCCATATGTGTCTCCTCTACCTACCTAACTCAATACGGGCAGTCAGTCCCTCTGGAAAATCTGTCTATTACTGACCAGCTTCACAACCTCACCGTCGAATGGCCCGTGATGGAGGAAGGCGTGGCGGATGGCAAAAGTTGGGAGCCACCCGAAACATCTGATGACATAAACAGGCGCTAGCTAGCCCCCCAGGCCACATCGCTGTAGCCACTCACAGGCCGCGCAACCGCATCGCCCTCCCAGGGTCCTTTCCTCGCGCTCGTGCAATCCCTGCTTCTGCGTGCCTCTGCCTCCCCCCTTCCTGGAACTCTTGGCTGCCCAGTTCCCAGTTGGCGGGCCCAACCGAACTCAGCACTGCCTCTCTCCGCCTGCTGCTGCTTCACACAATGACATGCGCTGCATCGATTCGGGGGGGAGAAGAGCTTCGACGGAGATTGGGACATTCAATCTGGCGGCCGGCTCCAGGGGCTGGACCTTGCAACTCGTGTTGCCAATCTTGATGCGCGATGGCGATGCTTCCTGACGTAACCTCAAAGGCAATTCGCCAATCTCCCCGTCTAAAGCTTTCATTCCTTCCAGCAACAACTAGTGTTATGTACACACATCCACAACCGTCTCTCCGTGAATGCATGAGATTGACAGCTCGCAGATGTCCAAGCAGACCGACGCTCGGGAGTCTGAGCCCACCTCATGGATGGAATCATGACAACGTGGAGGGGGCACCGGGGACGCAGACGCAGGAGCTGAAGTTCCAAAGGATGCGCCAACGGTTGTCGTTTGTATAAGCGATAAGGTGCTTCGATGCAGACGCAGCAACAACGCCTTCAAATCACCTTACAAAACCAAAACCATAATCACGACACAAAAGCAACGCAACAGCCCACCGCCAGTCACCAGAAAGCCATCCAACCATCCCATCCAGGGCGGCGGCGAGGGGAGGTGTGCTAATCCTGCATCCTGACTGGCTGCTCTGATAAGTGATAACGCTGATAAGAGATTAATGAGCAGGGATCGCGAAGAAAGGCAGGCCCGGGCAAGGGAGCCTCGACTTCCATTTTGGCATCTCATCCTTCCAAGCCCGTCCTGCGTGCCATCCGGAACAGGTACGTACCCTGCCTTAGGTGCCCTGCACTTTCCCCCCGCTAGCCCTGCCACCTCCCTTTCACGCCGCACGCGCGCCCAACCAGTCATCTCAATTCCCTTTTCGCAGGTGGCAGCCACCATTCCAGGCCAGCAGGCCAACTGCCTGCCGCAATGCGACCCGTCGCAGACCACAATCCACCGCGACCTCGCAAAGTGAACAAGACGGAAGAATTCCCACTCCACGATGGAGTTTCCGATGGATCCATTCGCATCTCGACGCCATCGCGAACCCTTCAGAACACACTGGCCACTTCCATTTCCCGGAATTTCTTCGATGCCATCCTCTTCCATCCCCCGCCATCCCTGCCGCCAACACCTGATGTTGGCCGAATCTGGAACCTCACTTCCGCCAAATCAAGCAGACATCTCGTGTGTCTCCATCTCAGAGAACCACAGCCTCGCTCTTGTCTCCTCTTTTCCCCCTTGAGTGCTCTGGCCATTAGACATGGCTTCTCCAGAATTTCCAAGGCGCCCGCCAACAAACCAGGACACGTCGTGGCATGGACGCTACGCTACCCAAGGAATGCAGTCTTCGGATCGCAACATCACATCAGAAAATAGAAACAAGCCCAGACCTGGGCCTGTCCCCCCGTCCCCCGTCTCCCGGCGGCGGCTCATCAGGTACCCGTCTCTCCCGCGCAAACACCCGCTGTTGGACGGCATCTACAGACACAACACCACCGTCTAGACTGGACATTTACACGCAGATGGGATGAATTAGACGGCAGACGGCTCGCTGCACTGTCAGATATGCCACCGTCGAGAAATACCGGCAAACACGCTACGTCGGCCAGCTTTGCGCTCGAATCAGACACCCAGTCACCCGCCCTTCACTGACCTCATTGCTGACTGACAACACCATTAGGGGGGACCACCCTAAGAAACAAGCTTTCATCATTGCCCATCCCACGCCCGCGCGCCCCGGCACCTCCAGTACAGCAAACCCATGTCTCTGCCTGGCGCCTCTCCATCCCATCTCCCGCCTTGAGCAAACCCCCCTACCGCCGTCGAGCACGACCCGGCCAATACACGGCGTCGACTCCGGCACGGGGTCCCTTCTTCTCGAAGAAGCCCCAGCCTATAGCTTCACCGCAATCCCCCTTGGAAATGGAGATTTCATGCCGCACAGTTGCCAGATATCGGATATCGTGGCACCCCAGGTCACCAACAACCCGTCCCACGTTTTGATCCACATGTCCATCGCCTTCCCAATCCTTCACCGACGGCCAGCTACATGACACACCTCGTCCTCATTGCTCATCAACGCACTCACCTTACATCAAACACGCCCAGAAGAGATCGGTCTCAACAACCCAGCTCACCTCCTGGACTCTGACGAAACCGGTGACCCGGATGGCGTGCCTCCCAACGAGTCGCCGCCTCTTTCTCACTGCGGTACAAGAACCGTAGGTCTCCTCCAAGTCACCACGCCGCAGTCAAAATCGCAGGTCACAGCCAGAATAAGAATCCAGCGAAGCACAGCGGGCACATCGTTCCCTTCCCCGTCCACCCCGCATCGCTCTGATTTGCTCCCGCTCTTCAGCACCCGCAGAACCGAGCCGCGCTAAAAAGGCGTCCCTTCACCGCCTCCAAGTCTATCTATCCGCTTGTCAGACGGGAGTATCGATTTGGACTTTTTGCTCACCCTGCATCGTGCATACAGGCGCCGGGAGCGCATCGCGTGCCGTGGCTTGCAAGCCCCAGATTGCGTACTGTAACATTGGCTCTCACGCGACCTCGAGACCTTATCAGCTGTTTCACGGCGAGCCTTATCGGGGATGAGTTGATAATGTTTGATCATCCGTGACATTTCCCATGCAGTCCTCTTTTTTTGGTTGAAGAATCTCGTCTTGCGGGTAATCTATTTATTGTACATTCAAAGCTCGTCGCCAAGTCTCGAGTCGCCTCGGCATCTGCTCGCAGGCTCGTTCATAACTCATGGCTGGCCAGCATGCAAAACGTCTCTCTCGCCCGTCTCTTGACGGAGTTTGTCGGCCATCAGCCTCTGCCGACATGCTGCTCTTCGGTTCCTCCAACTTCCCGTCATCACGCTCAGTGCTTCACCTTGTAGTCCTCGTCAGGCAGGTACAGATGTCTCTGCGCACCCTTGGCCGTAAGGACGACCATGCGAATGACACCGCCGGAGCTGCCGTCCCACTTGATAGCTTCCTGTAGCGCGCCCTTGACGAAGTCGACGGCGTCCTTCTCCTCCATGCCTTCCCTCCAGTTGGCGTCGCAGTATCCGTAGATGTACGTCGAACCGGAACCGCCGATGGCGTACGATTGCTTGTGTAGGGAACCTCCAAGGGGAATGGAGTAGACCTGTCCGCCGTGACGCTCGTCCCAGCCAGCGATGATGAGACCGGCACTGTTCGAGTGAAACGTTAGCACATCACCACCTCATCCATTGGACATTTTCAGGCTGCAGGAACATACGTCAGACGGTCCTTGTTGGCGTAGCAGATCTCCTGGAAGATGGCGCCGGCCGTTTGCGTCATGGGGGGCTTGCCGTTGCGCATGGCGTAGAGACCGAGCTGGTACTGGACAATGTCGGCGACGGCCTGGGTGTCGGCGGCGGAGCCTGATCTGCAGCACCAGATGGTGTCGTGGACTTGTGTGAGCTTGTCGGTGACTCGGTTGGCGATGTACGCGCCCGTCGTTGTTCGGGAATCAGCGCCTAGGAGTTGGGCATGTCAGTCTTGTCGTCTCGTCGCTGGCGAGGATGGCAACAATGCTGCTGCTAGTGGTAACATACCGAGAATAACACCATCCTTGAAGGTGACTGCCATACTACAAGATCATTAGGTCGAGGTAGTCGTGATACGGGATCGAGGGGTAGCTTACATTGAGGTTCCGAGGCTGGAATACGTCAGCGGGGTCGCATAGCTAAACATCGGTCCATTGCCATCACTTACTTGACCTCTCCCTTCTTTAATCTCTCCATGTCGACGTGGATGCCATCTGTGCAAGGTCAGCTCCATTGCCCTCCTTCCATGCCTTCACATCCCCCACGTTCCCAGGACGCAGGTCCCGCAGCGGGTTGCATCATCCGGGGTGAAGAAGGGAGCTGGCCGTACCTTCGTTGAGCATGCCGGTGGTGGTGAAATCCATCGTGAATTACGCTTCGTCGTTCGTTCGTGTGAATGTGTCGGTGTCGTGGCGGTTTTCGGTGGGGGGGAGAGGATTTGTTTGATGTGGTCGTCGGTGGGAAGGGCGGCGGTCGTTGCTGAGGGAAGGCTGGCTGGAGCTCAATCGAAGCTCAGGCAGCTCCAGACACGCGTTGGCCTTGCCCGCCTGCGGCTTGACTGCGCATCACGTGACTGTGATGACATAAGACAAAGGCAAGAGCTCTGGACCATGAGCATGGCGGTTGCCAGATGCAAGTTGGAAATTTATTTGGATCATTGAATTAGTTTCAGTAGCTTTTTGTTGCATTACAGTTTACTGCATCTCTGATCTTTTGTGAGCTCGCAGCAATCGACTGAGGCGTCCAGAGAAGGGGCTGTTATCATCGCATCATCTCATGGGTGGGCTGCAAGGATCGCGAGCTGTCTGGTACCTTCAACACTGGAATCTCCAAATGGGTATATAATTCGAGTAAACTGATGCTGCTCTGATGTTCTCGCGACGCCTCATGCCGGAATCAGCCACGACCAATGCGCCCCAGGTATCAAGGTCGCTTATCAGCCGAATGCCATGTACAAAACTGGCCCAGCAGACGTCCTCTTTTTACACAAGATTCTAATATGTATCAACCTGTTTCCAAACGCCTTCCATCTTCTCGCTCGCAGTCAACGCGCTTAACCGCCCTTGGTCAACCTGCACAGCCAGTCAGCATGATTCCATAACACGAAGCACCCTACAGCCAGCAGCACTTACCCATCCTTCTGAAGCTCGATGCTCGCCTTCTCCCCACCCTCGGCCTTCTTCTTATCGTCATCGCCGCAGCCGCAGTCGTAAAAGTCGCCAATCTTGTTGCAGTCAAAGATCTCCTTCTTCAACCTCGTGTTGACCTCGTTATGTACGAAGCAAGCCCAGCCGGCCGCGGCGTTGCGACTGCTTGTCTGTGGGGGGTACTTGGCCAGCAGCTTGCGGAAGTGGGAGGCGCAGTCGCCGCAGGGGTATAGCCTCGCAAAGAGCTGGATGTACGTCTTGAGCGCGAGGGAGTCGTCGGCGGTGGGCTTTTCGGGGAAGCGGGCCATCATCGTGTGGAAGAGCTTCCACGAGGCGCGACCGAGCTCGGCTCTGTTGGAGGTTACATTGTGAGCGGTTGCCTGTTCCCATGGACGCCGGACGAGCCGGCCGGGTGCTTGCAGATCATCGATCTCCGGGGTTCGGCAGGCCATGAGAGAGGGGGAGGGGGAGGGAAGCTTACTTGGCCGTCGCGTTCTCCAGCTTGGGCGCGATGGACTCGCCGGAGAGGATGCTGTTGGAGATGTGACCCAGGTCGGGCATGTCGCCGCTCGAGGAGACGGTGTCGCCCTTCAGGGGCGCGGCGGCGGGGGACGGGGCATCGGGGGAGCTGCCGGAGAAGAGGTACGAGATGCTGAAGAAGGCCACGACGGCCAAGATGACCATCAGGGAGAGGTGCTGCCGCCTCGCCATCCTGAAATGTGTCGAAATGCGTATGTACTCAGAGACACATGCGAAAAGAACGGGAGAAGGTCAAAATGTGGTCGTGTGGAAAAAGAAAGGAGGGACACACGAACCTCCTATGCTGGAGGATTCGGACGGATCGCCTTTTGGGAGTAGCTTTTCGCCTGGCTGCGCAGAGTGCACCTGGATAAGGTGCTTGCCTGGGGTTGAGTGCTCCAACTGGCCGGATGGCACGTCCACTGATGATTGCCCCCAAACTCTCTGGAGGGACCGACCTGGACCGGACTGGACCGACGGCACGGAGGGTGGGATATTTGGTCGGCCCACGGCGCAGGGGTTCATCGGACGAGGCTATTTCCCTGCGCCAATCCCATCGCTGTGGTTTCTGCGTTGCGCCATCAGTCGCATGGCCAAAAGTCCCCTACTGCATGTGGCTCGATGCATCAGCAGCATTTCTTTGTTCGTGTGGCCGCGCCGGTGTCCGAGTCTGAGGTGGCTTTACCTTGAGGTACCTTATTGTTCGGTTCCCCCTCCAGCAATGCACTTCCCCATCTTCACAGGAGGGACAACCGCTGAATCGCTGTAAAATCAAGGGACCGCTAGCCCTGTGGAATCCATGGCACGTGCGCAGGTGTAACCCCTTAACTTTGATTCAGGTTCACTCCACTTCGGCCCCTGACAGCCGCCTTAATTGCCTCTAACCTTCTCCAGCACTGCAGGAAAAATCCACCAAATAAATCGCTTGCCGTTTCTACCAGGGTGAGGCCATTCCGAGATCCGAAATGGAGGAGACAACGACCCGTTGGCGTGTCGTGGTCTCACGGGTTTCCAACATCAACGTCCATCGTGGTCTACTATCATCAGGATGCTTTCACCCTTACCAATGCTGGGATATGGAAAGCCCAAAAGTGAAATGTGGTCTTGAAGACCTCATGCGGTACCAGCTTAAGATCGACTTATTCCTCGGAGGAGTACTTCAGAAGCATGAGAAAACTATCTTAACGCGTTATGGGGAGAACGAAGACAATACAATCACAGTACCGTTTAATTCGAGTTAGTGTTCCAAGCCGCCTTTCTACACTTTGTCCCAAAGTTTATCTGACTACGCCTTCGTGTCCTGCTTCAAATTGCGAATCGGAACCTCGGGCTCTTCTCTCCCATGGCCTCAATCTCATCCTCCGTCTTGCCGTCCATCAGGTAGTCCATCTTACCCTCATCCCTCAACTTGTTCTGTCTCCGGAAGTGCACATGCAGCAGCACGTTGAGAGCGAACGAGACCGCCAGCATACCCATACTCGCCGCGTAACCGGGCACAAAACTGCTTCCCGCGAACAGGAAAGGCGACGCAACCCCAGAGGAGTTACCAATGGTGAGATGCATCCCTGTTGAGAACGCCCGCTTGCCGTAGCGAGGGTTGTTAGTCGGGACCCAGGCAAACGAGATGCCCGCCCCGGCGAAGATGCCGATACTGACGAAGAAAGTGCCGGCATACGACACGGCGTTGCCCTTCTCGGCAATGAGCATGCCGTAGCCCACTATCGAAGAGACGATGGCGCCCATGATAAAGTAGCCGCGGCGCTGCGTGAGGTCACTCACCCGGGCGCATGCGACATAGACGATAGCCCCGACGGCGTAGACAGGGACAGTCATAGCCTGGACCTCAGTCGCGTTCCAGCTGCCGAGCCCGTGAATGATTGTGGGGAGGAACACGACGAAGGAGTAGAGCATGGTCAGCAGCGGGAACAGCGCGAAGCAGTACGCCCAGGTGGTCCAGTCCCTGATGCCGTCCTTGACGTCCTCCCACTCCATCTCGCGTAGGTTCCGCGCCCTGCCGATCTGCTGCTCGTGGATGCGGACGAGGTTGCGCTTGTCCTCGTCCGAGAGGAACTTTGCCGTCTCGGGGCTGTTGGGTAGGACGAAGGGGATGACGCAGCCGGTGACGATTGTGGGCAGCCCGTTGATGAGGATGATCCATCGCCAGGCGCGCCAGCCGGCGTGGCCGTCCATGAAGCTGATACCGTACGCGACCAAGCCCCCGGCCACGCCAGAGGCAGCTGCGGTTCCGTAGAAGTAGGCGATCCGGAGGGCGAGGCTTCGCCGGCTGTAGAACATGGACAGGTAAAGCACAACTCCCGGGAAGAAGCCTGCCTCGAACAGGCCCAAGAGGCTTTGCTGGTGTTAGCAAGGTCATTTGAGCAAGGTGGAGATGTGTACATACAGGCGGCACACCACGAGAGCAGCGAAGTTGTTTACAAAAGCGCTGAAAGTGGCGACGAAGCCCCAGCAGATAGTCAGTCCTGCAAGGTAGCGAGCAGGTTGCAGGCGTTTAATAACCATATTAGACGGAGCCTCAAATAGCTGAGATCCCATTGATATTAGCCAACTCCAATATCTCAGTCCAGTTCAGGGGCAAGCTCACGCAGTAAGTGATGAACAGGACTGAGACTGCCAGTTGGAACTGCCCAGATCCCAGGTTCAAGTCATCTTCCAAGCCGAATAATCGGGCATTTCCAATGTTGACTGCGCAAGAGGTTCAGCAATGGAACCCGACTTTGAAAAGTGAAAATTCTCACCTCGATCCATCATGTTCATCAGGTATACCCACATGACCATTGGGACAATACGGTAGTCTAGCTTGCGTAGCACCGCGCGCTCAGTCGCCTTGTCGACGATTTCGGTGTCTGGTCCTGGTGCTTGTTCGATGGTCTCGACTTGACCAGATGAGGCGTCAGAGTTCTGAGGCCATGCAGCCTTCTCGCCCGGCAGGTCGACATTGTTGCTCAAGTCAGCCATGGTTCAATAGCCAGGCAAGACGCGACTGTCCTGCTATGACCGATTTAGAGATACAGGAGTCCGAAGGTCAAGAAGAAACCCGATTTTCCAAACCAGTAAGAATGAGTAGATGGCAAGAAAAGAAGCAAAGAGTCAACGATGTGCGACAGACGGTGAAGATGCTGAGTATTTAAGAGCAAGGAAGGCTACCATGGGGAAAGGGAGACGGGCATATGTGCGATCCTGCTCCAATGACAGGCTGAGAGCCAAGCAACACACCTGTGGTTCGCCTGCAATATAGTTCAGGGAGTTGAATCCGTTGGCTATCTTTGCCAATGCTCGTTCTTGGAACGCAGGCATCCGGTTCCCCATGCGGCATGGTTTCGGTTGGCATTGTAGGATAAAAAGCATTGTTGGGGCACGCGTGGCAGAAACCAAGAATATTGGCATGCGGGGGGAGGTCTTGGGCCACAGACATCTCCGGGCTTACATGGGATAATTCGCGGGGATGGTTTCTGGGCGATTTCGCACGCGTCTGGGACCGTCAGCTTTGTACGCTTGCCAATCTACCAGCATGACGGCGTGGCGGCGCTGCCGCGCTGCTCGGCTTCCGCAACAAGACACGGTAGTCGAAATACGCAAAAGATGAACCAAGATAATGAACGGTCCAGCGGAAGCTGTTACCCTTGTTCTTTCGAAATGCGCTGTGTGATGGTCGGTCCGGTGTTGATTAGCAATTCGCTTGTGTTGAAGCACAGCCTGGTTTTGTACTACGTCTCGCGTTAGCTCCAAAGGATGACTTCCTTAAGACCGAGAATCACTAACGACTAGGTGCTTATAGACTAGATGAGATTATTCATACGCCGTATTTACCTGCTGGCGAACGAACTGCGAGGCGAATGGCGGTCGCTTGTAGACTTCTAAACACCGCGTGCCACGAGAGGTGACCGCTGAGATGGCACCAAGTACTGACATTGTCTGTGGCAGATATTTTACAGCTATCGATTACGGTTACACTGCGTTTGATATCAGGCCGGATGACCTCTTCCAAAATCGGAAACGAGATGAAGTTGTAATGGACGTGAAAGCCTACGGACAGCGGGCTTCAAGCGTCCCACAGAGTTCTTACAAGACTTCGAGATGAAAATGCGTGAAGAGCATGGCGGTCATGATGCGAAAGCCCAGGATGATTTTGACCAAATACGGCAGAAGTATCAGACTCAAACGTGTGGTGAACACATCTCCGAGACAGACCCAGCACGTCGCAGCGACAGCTGCAACTCAAAGATCGAAATTCCGTCTCAAAACAAGAAACTCGACGACGATGAACGCAACGTATCCAAGCAACATCAAGCCACCGATGAGACGATCGAATCGACCACCCGTCCACACGGTTATGGTGAATACCGCCGTCGTCACCCAAAGTACCACCAACTCGACGATGTCCACCCCGCCAGCAGCGCCCAGCTCCCCGCGAGAACCAACCATGACAATGCCGAGGCACAGTGTGAGAAGGAAGATATTGCTTCCGACGGTGTTGGCGACGAGGATCCCGCCGTGACCACGGTTGCCGCTGATGACAGCCACAAACTTCTCAGGCAAGGTAGTTCCGATGGCGAGCACGACGATGCCGAAGAGAACCTCGGAAGCGCCAAGGGCGTCTGAGATATTTGTTGCAGCGTGGGATAGGACGTATCCCGACAGACATATCGTCAGGAACCCCAAGAAAAGGTACCCGATGTGATACCAGAGACTGCGCCTTCGGCGTGCGAAGTTCTCGGAGGGACGCAGGAGCGGTTGCTGTTCACCGTTAGACCTCCGGCGGCTGCTAGTTGGAGGTGCTTCAGTGTCGCGCTCATCATCGCTGGAGCTTTCGCTGTCGCTGTCGGAGCCTTCGGGAGCAGTGAGTGATCCGCGACTGATGGCCCATCCCACAGAGATGATGTAGATGGCGAAGGCGACGATGAGAATGATACCTGTAACCTTCCACAATTCTTCGCGAGGAAAGAAAGTTATAGGAGCGATGACTGTTGTCACCCCCAGAAGCAGCAGCGAGTAGATACGCGCGCTGCGATCGAACTGCATGTGCTCGCCATTCTTACGAAAGAGTAGACCCAAAGAGAAGGCCCCAAGGATGTTGGAAATCGCGGAGCCAACAATGTTGCCCAATGCCAAAGGAGCCCGACCCTGAGCCAAGGCGCTGACAACCACAGCGAGCTGCGAGAACGTCAGTCGTGATGTAACAACACCAGGCAGAAATACCGCCCATCGCCGGGCGGGAATGCGGGAAAAGTGGGCACATCTTACCTCCTCCCATTCGGCTCCGGCGGTCAGGAGCGCGATTAGCGTGTCCGGGATGCCGGTACGTCGGGCGACAATGGCTGTGTGGTCGACGAACTTGTCGGCGCCTGATTCGAGGAGGAAGAGGGTGCCGATAAAGACGGCCGCATTGTAGGCGACCACGTTGCCGTCGATCATCTTAAACTAAATGAAGTGGTACTTATTGAGTAGTAGGCTGGTTTCTTCACCAAATGTGACAGCTGCAATGTGATTTCACCACGAATCTGTCCGTTCAATGGCGACGAGGAGTTTCGCGTCTTGTCAGGTTGAGTAATGTTGATTTTCGAAATTACCTGACATGACGAGATGAGAAATTGACGACCTGTGTTTTCTTGGCATTGACTCTCCGGGGACAAGTGGGGTCCTCGGAGCTGTTCCTCGGAGTTTACGGCGAGGTCTCCGGATCGACTCTGCCGGCGCCTGTCAAATCTAGCTGACCCCTAGCATAGACGGATTTCGAGAAGATAACCAACATGTATTTGTCGAAAGGTCGAACAGACGTGGTGGTAATGTTATTACGCCTGAGGCAATCGCTGGAATCCCGTCGCCGGGAGCATTGCCTTGCAGCAATTGACTTGAATTCTTATCAGAGACTAACAAAACTCGCTCGGGCAAAATGTATCGACATCATTCGTAGCATCATTGAGGGGTTGTGTCGGGGGAAACCTTCATTCCTTCTGAGAGAGATCTAGGTTTAGCAGGGATCAGCTCCAGTCACGCTCACTACAACTGAAATGACTTCATAGGTGTGAGCGCATGAGTTAAGCAAAATGATTTCCAGCTTGCCCCCGAAAAAACTTGAAATGACTCCAATCCGTACGCTTCAAAGTGAAGATAATCATGATGATGATGAATTTCTGCGTGTTATTCTCGACATGCAAAATGATTTGAGGACTCACGTGAAACATTATGGACGTGCACGATGTGCCGAGGTTCAATTCGCCTGCTTGAATACCACGCCGCAATAACTTCATCTTCATCAACCATTTCCCGCGAAACCAAAGTTCCGTCGATAGAAATAAGCCACAATCTTAGCCAAAATGAGCGAAACTCCAAACAAGACAGCAGATCCCGAGTCTCTGCCGCAATCTGTCGACGATCTCAAAGCACTGCCATGGTGTCGCCCCCTTCTCTCCGCCCCCGGCGTCACCACCTTCATCCCACCATCTAGAGTCCCAGAAAACACCAACCCCCACGACAGGTTCTTCGGAAAAACCATGAACAACTCAACTGGAATCCCAACATGCATCTGTTTCCACAATGAGGCGCCTGGAAAGTCGGTCATCACCGAAATGTCGATTTTGTTCGCGCTCTCAAGAGGGATCGACGGATACCCACACATCGCACACGGTGGCATAGTCGCGGTGCTCATCGACGAGGTCCTAGGCATCCTCATCCAGAGAAATATGGACACCGATAGAGATAGCCCGGTATTCAGGATGAACACCGTGACTGCTTCGATGGATATCAAGTATCTGAAGCCGGTTACGACGCCAGGCGTAGTGCTCGCAGTAGGGCAGATCAAAGAAATCAAGGGCAAGAGGATCTATCTCAAAGCGGCCGTCAAAGACTCCAATGGAGTCGATCTTGCGACATGCGAGTCGCTCTGGGTTGCGATTCCGAGGCCCAAGATGTGAGGAATGGACTGGATACTAGTAGGTTTCATATAGCGAGCTGTCCTAGATGTTCATAAACTATTTAACACTTCATGTCAGTGAAAGGACTGACTAGTGACTTGGCAAGTGAGCTCGTGGCACTATGTTGTTCGTATTGAAAACTCGGCAACTTCTTCGCGTTATTGCGATCAAGAAGATAGAAAGAGGGGCAATATTAGACATGATTCTTCACTCAACACATTGTGTAATGCAAGTCTCCATCCGCGGACTTCGTCTCGGAGTTATATGGGGTTTGAAGCAAGGATGGACGCAAGGACGGACAGCTTTGTGTGACAGGGATCGCTTTTGTATTATCTGTCTGACATCTAGAGAATAAACAGCTGACGTATGACTGTCGAGCTAGAAAATGTTTTGAATTACTAAAATAATCTTTTTGAGCCAACGTTCTCGGCTTTAAAGAGAAGGCAGGATTCTCTTGTCGGTGAAAGCCCACAGAAGAGGGGAGTAGTCAGAGCACCAGGCATTGCCGGTGTAGTAGGTGCTTCTCTTTCCCTGCAGAGCATAGAGCTTCTTGTAGAAGCCGGCCTTGATGGCATCCGTGGAGACGTGGAGCTGCAGGTTGGAGTGCTCCTCCCATGCGCTGAACTCCGCGCCGCTGGTGGCAGTGGCACCGACAGAGGGGCCGATGCGGCTGACGGCACCAGTAACCAGACCCTGAGCAGTGGCGGAATCAGGCTCGCCAATGACCTTGACGGTCTGGTATCCCGGAACGCCAACGGTCTCGAGGCGCCAGACGAAGGGCTTCTGGGGAAGGGCATCGGGGGCGGTGACATCGACGTTGACGTAGTTGGTCAGATCGGGGAGGCCGGTCTTGGACACAACACCAACGTAGTAGGGAACGTTCTCCCACTGGCTGAAGATGGAAGTCTCCTCCTCGTCGAGGTCGAAGGGCTTGAGGTTCTGGGTCGTGGGAGGGATAGTGACGAGAAGCTTCTTGGCCTTGATCAGCTTGCGGCCGGTGGCGGTCTTAACGACGGCCTTGACGCCGTCATCGGAACGCTGGGAAGCAACAACGGTGCTAGAGTAGAGAACATCGCCTCCAAGGAATTCTCCCGCCTTGTCGTAGACCTGCTGGTTTCCGCCGGGGGCGTAGAGGTAACCGGCAGAGAGGCCAAGAAGATGGGGCTGGCCGAAGTTCTGAAGGACGTAGAGGGTAGGGGTCTCGAGGAGGTTTCCGACACCGTGGGCGAAGATCCAGACAACCTGGACAGACTCGGTCAGGTTGTACTTGTTGATAAACTGGCCGAAGGGCAACAGCAGGTCCTCAGGAACAGAGTCGGGGATATCGTAGGCGCCCTCAGCAAGGAAGGCGAAGTTCATGGTCGCAAACAGGTAGCTGGCAAGAGGTCCAACCAACTGGTTGGGGTCAACAGCAGTCGCGTTCGGGATGGCGAAGCCAGTCTTGAAGTCGACGATCTTGCTGGGGAAGGGGGACAAAGCAGAAGCGTTCAGAGCGACACCGAAGCGCTCGAAGAACTGCAAGGTCTGGTCGTTCTGGATGTAGGCCTGAACACCATAGTCGATGGACGCGCCGGTGGCAGGGTCGTGGAAGGTGTTCACGTGTCCACCGAGCTTGTCAGCGCGCTCGACAACGGCGACGGTCTTGTTCTGGTCCCGGAGACGAACGGCGGCGTAAGTGCCGGTTGCTCCACCACCGACGATGAGAACATCACGCTGGATGATGTCCTCGGGTGCGAAGGCGGACTCATCGTAGCACCCAAGCGCAACAGGAGTGGCGCTGATTAAAGAAGCGCTCAATGCGCAAAGAGACAAAATAGAAGAACGCATCGTGATAGTTGGAACCGAGAACGAATGACTGTGACTAAAGGAGCGACTGGTGGGTTGCTATCCAAAAAGGACCACTCCTCTGGGCGATGGCGATTCTGAATGCTATATACATGCTGCAACGGACAACGTGGGATGCCAACCCGAGCCCGACGCTCCGGTACCACGCCAAGTCCAGTGAAGAGAGAAGGTTTTGACTCGAATAGGCAATGAAGTCAAATTGATTAAGCGCGACTCATGGCAAACTGCCTACAGTTCGCTCGCTACCCCCCTGTCATTTGTTAGCATTCTACCAAGGTCAGGCTTGCTCTCTAGCAAAGATCCGCGGTACGCCCAAAACGCACTACGGTCAAGCCGGATGAACGCCCCCAAACCGTCGTGCCATGCTACGACCCAACATGCACAGAACCCCTAAAACCACATCATGGTTACCTCGAAGCAGGCATCTCGTGAGGAAGTATTCTTCACGTGAAAGGGAGAAGCAAAATCGAACATAAAACGCAGTCGATCCCGAAGCTCGGGAAACTCAACACACTGACGGACGCCGGTGATGCCGTCGCGGCTCACTCGGCCAAATGGTGTAAAATGGGCGACAGGGATTATGTTTGCGTGATGTTGTTAAAGTTCACTGTCTTTAATTGCCCACTTCCAGTTCATGGAGACAACGTAACGGCCAAGAAACCGAGCTCTGGTTTTAGGTTAGACGCAATAGGGGCGCCGTTGTCCAACATTCCGCATTAACCGCAAGGCGATTGGACTCCCACTTCCATGGCAAGGCAACGGATGCATTGATCCGCCACACTGATCGTCTACGTTTTGCTTGAAGGTTTGTCGTCGTTTTTGCCAAGGGCTTTGCCCAAGGCACTCATTGAGCCCCATCTGCAGATGCAGACAGCGCGACAGCGAGTGCAATGCTCTCGCGCGAGAAGTACTTCAACTTTGACATCCCATTCGCACGGCTTACGCACCCTTTTTTAACTAACTGTTCGTTGATGTTTTTTGGGTTCTGAAAACACAGATAATGGGTGGAGACAATCTGGAAATGCCTTCATTTATTTTTGTTGCTCCCGAGTCGTATGCCTTCTGAGATCACAAAAACTGGCAACAGCCTCTATTTGAAAGTGAAAGTCTGCCCGAGAACAAGTGAGCTTGCGACTGAGCGTCGGAAAAGATCTGAAAACCGCAGAAAAGCCAAATGTTCATGCCGTACGATAAGTTGCTCAGCAGTCAAACTAACATCGTTGCCTCATTTACGATACTTTCAAGAGGAAGTCTTGATTAAGTACATCTTCATTAACGTGCCTGAGTGAACTGCTATCGTCATTCGCCCATGTCCGTTAAACCACTAATTAGCGCGGAGGCGCCGTAATTTTTCCGCTCGGGTCACTGCGTTCGCCGTTGCTGTGCATCTGACGGCGAGGTGCCGACGGGTACGCACTACAACATCGGGTTCGGGAGTTGGGGCGTGCATTGCGCGCTTTTTTTGAGCAAGAATGTGCCTTTGTAATACCCCCAAAGTCCAAGCTCATGATACAGGTAACTATGATTGCTTCATTTTTGGTTGCTGGTTATAACAGTCACTGGGGTCGAGGTCGGCATATGTGCTCTTGGATCTGATGTTCTCGCATAGGTTTGACGAAACTTGGCATACTCAAGGTGCTGTTGATCCCCAATGGCGATCTCGGTGTCCAATGGAAGCCAGCACGACAGTCCAGGCGTGCTTCATAGGGGCGTTAGACAGGGGCGGACCCAGAATACTCAGGCAAGCTGCTGTCAGTAATTTTCCGAAAGTTAGTTGAGATTGGGGTTCGTTAGCTGCCAAATCATTAGCGAGTGGACGCTTGGTGCGGCAAATCAAGGCCTGCCTCATTGCCAGACTAATTTGTCCGTCACAAGTCATGACTCGGTTAGGCTGGGCAGAACTTCGTACTGGATTCAGGGCTGATTTTAAGGCCTGTGGCCCGAGAACAAATCCTAAGGAATAGAAACCAGTCAGAGGTTCTCAACAACCAGGCAACATGTGCACGTCAAGTGCATAGCTTGAAAGTTAGTCGAATGAGAGACTGTCTGGTTTATGAGCTCGATTCGCGTTCAACCCGTCAAGCTCCGCAGGAGAAAATACAAAAAGACGACTATATGTACCTGGCTAGAAGCCTACTTTAGTCCGAAACAAAGAAAATATTGTCTTGCCAAGTGTATGAAACTGCAGAGACTTCGGATGTAAAAGGTCCAGGGAAGTCAGACCAACCTTTCTTTATCGACGATTTCTAGGGGACTACCTCACGACAAAGCCTTGTAGTAAAGTCTTGCTTGTCAGCAACCGCGGCAACATAAAATGTTGATTAACTATGTCTTCCTGTCATCGCGAAAAATCTCGAAGGTAGATTGGTGGACAAGTCGTTGATGGGCAAGGCATTGAATAACGTTACAGCACTTCGCTGTTTGACAAATCATTACGAGGAGAGTGTTGTCGTCCGCAAACTCCGCCAATGTCAACGTTATCCCACATCAAACTCCGCAACTTACTAAGTTACACGACATTGTTTTGTTCAGTAGAATGTAAGGCTTATAGTTCTTCTGATCTGGTTCATGTTCTCAAAACTGCCATCAGTCAGATTACGATTACACTCATCATTTCCTCAAAATTCAGCAATCGATTGCTCTTCTCGTCGAATCCAACATGAAGGAAGCTATTGTAGACTGTAATACCCAGGTTCAGCTCATTGAGTCGCCTGTCCCGACTCCTGGTCCAGGCCAGGTCCGCATCAAAGTAGTTGTGGCTGGAAGTAATCCCAAAGATTGGTAAGACATCCCGGCATCCATGGCTCTTGTAAGAAAAAACCTTTGTTGATGGCCATTCAAATAGGAAAATTCCCGTTTACCATGGCAGTACACCGATGAATACTGGCGATGATGTTGCCGGGTATATCGATGCTGTTGGTCCTGATGTTACGGAGTTCAAGACCGGTGATCGAGTTTCTTCAATGCATCAACCTGGAGCACCCCACGGCGCCTATGAAGAGTACTCGATTAGCGGCGTGGAGACCACCTTCCACATCCCCTCAAAAACCAGCTTTGAGGAAGCTGCGACGGTTCCATTGGCTTCATTGATGGCAGCCACGCTCGTCTTTCGTGGACTCAAGGTTCCTGAACCTTGGGCATTGAACGATAAACCTCAACCACAGCCACTGGTCGTGTGGGGCGGCGCCTCTGCTGTTGGAGGTTTTGCAATCCAGTACGCCAAACGGGCCGGTTTTCAGCCCATCATAGCTATTGCTGGTCGCGGTATGGAACAGACCCGAAGTCTTCTAGATGAAGGCTCTGGAGACGCAGTACTCGACTATCGGGCTGGAGGGGAATCCGTCGCAAGCAGTATCCGTGGTCTATTGAAAGGAACCCTTCTACGGTATGCATTGGACGCTGTCTGCCAAGGAGACAGCTCCCAAACTCTGGCAGACATTTTGCACCCCTCCTCGGCCGGAGAAACACCATCGAGGCTGATAGTTGCTGTACCCTTGATGGAAACCCAACCGGATAAGAGGGGCCAGATTGTTCCTTTCGACATGCCGCTTGGGACGGATGCAGCTTTCCTCCCGGTAAGCTTCATCTATGAAAGCGACGCTGGCCGTGATTTTGGCTTCGTGCATGCTAGGTACTTGGGCAAAGGTCTGCAGGATGGCTGGCTGAAACCCCATCCGCACAAGGTTGTGCCAGGTGGCCTTGCTGGGATTGAGAGCGGGCTGAAAGATCTTCGGGAGGGAAAGGCCAGCGGAATGAAATTTGTGTATAGAATTGAGGAGACGCCTGGGCTTTAAAGTCTTACGAGAATGGCTTTTAGGGTTCCCTTACGTAGCGTTTTGGCTCGTCTCGACAGAATCAGAGGAGAAAGCATGTAAACTAGGCCAATGGCACAGGATCAAGCTCCGTTGCCCCCCTTTCTATCTATTTTGTTTGAACCCCCTGTATCCGTCTTTGATTTTGCGTGCGGTTTACTCCTGGGCCGATTTTCTCAGACAAGACGATGTAATTTACTCAATCTTCTCCTCTTCCAACGGCACAAATCGCAGAAGGCACCTTTGTCCAAGGGGGCGAGCTGAAATAACTTGGTCGTGAGACCTCATGCTTTCGACCGTCATAGACATGTCCGGAACAGTGGTGAAACGGCCATAAATATCCCTCAGTAATATTTTCATCTCAGCAAGAGCAAGACTAAAGAGAAATTATCATTAGTCTAGGCGCATCCCCGTCAAACATGATGGTCTACTCACTGTTTGCCAACGCAACCTCTACCGCCATGTGAGAATGCAAACATGTGTCGCTTTCTCTCAGCTTCGCCAGTAGGAGACATCCACCTCTCCGGGTTGAAGACATCTGGATTCGGGAAGACGGCGTCGTTGTTTCGGTGGACCGAATAGGCCTGGCTGCTGACGATGCTGCCCTCGGGTACGAAAAAGCCATCGATTTGCTTGCCGCCATGGGGCACTACTCGAGGCAGAGACATGGGAATAGCCGGGAAGCATCTAAGTCCTTCTTGCACTACGGCGTCAAGGTATGACAGTTTGTCGAAAGAAACGTCGGGATTCTCTCGAATCTCGTTCTGGAGCTTCTTCTGAAACTCGAGGGAGGATGGCTGAGAAAGCTCCCACATGAGAAAGCATAACGAATCTCCTGTCGTGTCGATACCGGCGACCATATGATCCATGGATTCCGCTGCAATGTCCGTACTATCAAGCTGATTGACGCTGCTACTGCTCTCTGTCTTGTCTTGGAGGCGGTTCAAGAGAGTGAATGGTGCGGGATCGATCTTCGAGGTGGCGCCGATGACGAAGTTCTGGGCCAAAGGTGTGGTGCGCGGGTCAAGAAAAAGATCCAGAAGCTTCGAAAAGTATTGATAGAAGACAGGATAGTGGTGCTGGACGAGACGGCCTGGTCTGTTAGCATCACAGCCGAGAGACAACTCGGAATAAGCTTACTTCGAAGGCTGTCGTCGCTGGTAACCTGATGCATCATGTCCAAATCTTCTTTCTTCTGAAGACTGTTGGTTCCATAGGGATGAAACAGGTGATGGGTGATGCAGTCACAGGCATAAGCGTGGAGGGAGATCTAACCAGGATTAAGAAGCCGTTCAGAACGGTTGGCACAAATTGATGGTGAAACTCACGTAAACATCCATGCTGGTTTTGGTATGTTCACCACACTGCCTGACAAATTCCTTGGCTCGCTTCTCGATGCCACTGAGCGCTGTAGGCTTTACGACATTGCTGTTCGCGTAGCGATCAGCGATGATGCGCTTGCGCTTTGCATGCTATGGCGGAGCTGTTAGCGAGGATTATCGAAGAGGGCTGATACACTAACATCGCCCTTTTCCAGAGTCGAAAACATGGTCCTGCACAAAATGAATCAGCTTGGAGTACTCGTTGGTCAGCTAGCAGCATCGCCACATACCTGCGCTTGAAAACCCGGAACAAATTGTAGAAGCTGGACTTGTCGTAGCCGCTTCCAAGAGACCCATAGATCTCCTTGACAGCCTCGTATGACGTGAACGACACCTCATTGGGGGCGATGCGAACGACCGGCCCGTACTTTAGATGCAGAGAGTGGACATATAGCGTTCTCGTTGCATTGAACTCATTCCACCTAAGGGCAAGAGGCGTAATTCTGGACCAGAATGGTCCGGGAAGCTTCCATAATGGTGATGCGATGCAACGAGCTAAGTAAAATACGATCAAGGCCGCGAAGGCAATCGACACAAAAAGTGGGCTGAACAGCATGTTGTGCTTGTTTGCCTGGACGCCAGTTGAGTCGAAAGAACTAGATCTTCACAGCTACTGGGGGCGGAGAGGGGTACATATACCCAATATCCCCCGCGGGGTCGAACGCCTGGTAAAAACGGGGCAGATAAGCCGGAGCTGATGAGACAAATCAGAATCTCTTTGGAAAAGTTGTCAATGATTCGTTTTGAGTCATGGTTCGTTTACCCCGCTGAATTTGTTGAATCTCTTCCCCTAATGTTAAGAATTGGCGAATTCCGGTTGCTGGGCTTGAAAGCAAACTAAGCCATCGTCGGAACGGCCCCGCAGTTGATCGCTAATGTTAAGAAGACCCGACGATACGGATCTGCCGAGTTCACCGACTGTCACAGTTCCCCTAATGTTAAGCGCAGCCGCAGGCCCACCTCCGAGTGTCTCCACTCCGGGAAAGCCAACCTCCGGTTTGCTGTTTGAAATGAGGGCTTATCATTTGGTCTAGCCCTCTTTCAGTAAAAATTGCGCACGGCATGCAGTATCACAGACGAATAGATCGCATGCTAGCTCGGGGATAACTCGGGACGCAAGCAAGGGCATGTTGAAGAGCATCGACAGTTGTCAACCGTTGATTGTGACTCAATGAATCACGCACTTATTCGACTACCTCTGTATGAGATGCTTCAGTAGACATCCATGGATAGGGGCCACCGGTTCGCGTACTTAATACACAACATTAGAATCCCAAACGTACCTAAGGAGGTAAGACTGGAATAAGAAGCCGTCATTGAAATAAACCTTGAAAACGAAGACTCTTGGAACCCTCATAATGAGCAAGTTCTTACTTCTTCTCATGGGCATTAGTCTTTTGTCTCCAAAACCCCGGCGATCTCTTCAAACCCAACTCTTCGTAGACCACGGACGGATACATGAACATATGATCCTCGTCCCAGTCGTTGTACCATTCATTTAGGTCGTTGTAGTGTTGAAGATAATTAGATGCACGGACATATATCCATCCATTTGGCCCTTCGTCGTGATCGATCATCCAGCCATCCTCATAATCTGGATGCACGTCGTCGCCTTCTCTGAAACGAATAGGTTGCCACTCTCTCTTGAGCAGAAGGGCCACGGGACCGGTGTGTTTGCGTGTCTCGTCGACGGACTGTAAGCAGACGTTATATCGAGCGCCATAAAACATCATCTGCTTCGGACTTGGCGGTCCTCCGTACGGAAATAATCCCACCTCTGGTGTTTCTGACCTCTCTTTCCAGTTTCTTGCCAGTTCCTGTCTGGCCCAGGTGTCGAAATGGACCTTCACTTCGACTGGACCGGCGCTATCGAGTCTTTGCTTATCTTCAATGAAAGTAACCTGATGACGGTTGCGTAGAGTCCGTCGAACATGGTGAAGTGGGTGATCGAGAGTGTCTTGTATGCATGTTTCGATGTGTTGTCGCATTTTGCGCCATGAGATTTCGTCGCTTTAACCGGTGCGGTACACAGCAAATCCCCATGGTGCATTAGGCTTGAGCTCATCATTTCCTATCTCGTAGCAGACTGAGTCGTAAGTTTCGACTCCGTTTCCTAACATTGCTGCGAACTCTACCCAGTTATCCGGCCATTTGTTGGTTTCTTCGAACGGATATCGTGTGCAAAAGTTTACGGAACGTGAACGAGAGGTTCGAATACTAGCAGCGAGCCACGCTGGCAAGGCTGCTTTTGCCTGAGCGTAGCGATGATTTGGCTTGAATAGCATCTGCCATGTTCGTGAACTGACGGGCTTGTGAATGAGAGACATCTACCGATTGTGCTACAGCTTGTGATGTTGATGTGTTGATGAGCTCGATGAGAACTTGGAACGTTGTTGGCTAGAAAGACAATACTGGTGGCCCGTGCATCATCCCTAAATCCGGTCAGTCGACGCACGGTTCCAGGTCCTCGGTATGGCAACCCGGATCTCTGGGCCAACACCATTCCTGATCCCTCAACTATCTTCCCCCAAGGTGTCTGTTGGCAACGGACACTACGCATATTTCACACTTCGACTGTGAAGCACAGAAGAATTCTATTGGTGTCCCGGGGTTAGATGAGATTATCAATCTCCTCAATGACATGGCCAAAGTCGCCCTTGGCTGGCCATGATAACCAGACTGTTCGCGGGATGGTAGTTTCAAAACTTTGCATTTCACTCATCATTCGCATCGAACAAGCTTCAAAGCGCACCGCAGCGCCGGGCCAGATCGAAGTCTGCCATGGCCATTCCACGTGGGCACGGGGAGATTACGGGTATCTATCCCGTTAAATCGCACCATTGACTTTATATTCCGCACCGACGCATCCGAATGTCACCGCCGAGCTTATCGGGACAGATAGAACGTGGAGAGACGGACATCACAGAGCCCGGCTCGCCGCGCCGATGCCGGCATGCCGTAATCTGCCATGGAATTTGACTCCTGCATCCACCCGGAAAACAAGGGAATGAGACCAGCTGGTTTTAATGTCTTGCCAGAAAACCTTACAATGCTCCGGCTCTCTGGGAGCGGAAATCCCGGCCGAGGACGGAAAATCTCGCCTTGGTGAGGGTCCGGACTCGGGCCCCGGACGTATCACATTAGACGATTAATTGCACCATAGAACCTTGACATGCCATACCCCTGTCGTGACATTCCGATTGATACGAGAGCCACGCAAATAATGTATGTTTATTAGGGGTAACAAGTCTTAAAGAACGAAGTGTTGCCTTTCAGTATTCTGGTAGACCGAACCCGACGATTTGGTACGCGAGAGACGATAGTGATTGATGGAATAACGATGGCATCATTACCTCTGGAACTCATCGAGCACATTTGCTCTCTCTTGTGTCCTCATTGTCAACGCCTTGGCATCTTCTACGACATTGTTACAGAAGACACGCGGTCGTCGCAAAAGGCCTTGGCCCACCTGTGTCGAGTTTCGAGGCGCGTCTGTGCCGTGGCACAGCCATTCCTTTTTCATCAATATTGCACAGGCAATCTACCGGCGGAAAACGACTGCGGATTGAGAGGGCACGCACGGTGCTTACCCCGCGAAGACGACAAGTTACCGGCGTTTCTTCACAGTATCATCAGCCGACCAGATTTATCCTTCCACGTTAGAACCCTTCAGATTGTGGAGACGGACGAAATTAGCGGGCTGACGCCGGATCTGAGCCCTTTGATCTTCACAGCGAGCCAAAAGGTCAGAGCCTCACATCATGCTCCAACACAAGAACATCTGAGAACCCAAGTTTGGCAAGAGTCAAGACAGCCAGAAGGGTTACAAAGGATCAACCGGCGAAAGGTGCACCACTGGCTGGAAGAGCTCGCCATTCTCTTGACGCCCAACGTTGAGATGATCTCAATAGCTCGCGACAGCTTTTGCCAGTATCAACACATCAAAGACAGCGGGGTTTTATTGCCATCACTCAGGCTCATAACCCTCCGAGGAGTCACGAGAAATCAGCACGTGCACGAGGCAGCCGCCCTCTTCAAGGCCGCACCCAATCTCAAGGTACTCAACTCCATGCAATGCAGCCTCTTTGACGGTCTCAGTCCATGGATTATGAGCAAACCATGGACATTATCTCTGGGTAGTCTCAAGAGGCTGGTGCTAAGCGAGATCGGGTTTGAAGACCTTTCTCTGCTCCTAGCCTGCTGCCCAGAACTACGGGAGCTGGAACTGACGGCTGTCAACATCCATCGGACGGCGGGTATCGACTACTGGGATGTCTCCAAACTGTTGCAAACTTTGGTTCCTGTACGACATCAACTTCGGAAGCTCCGCCTCACCCATTCCCCGAGCCAACGGTCTGGCGCGGAACAGAGACAGTGGACGGATGAGACATCCCTGTCGTTTCGAGACTTTGTCCAGCTTGAAGAGTTGGCTTTCGACCAGACCATGCTCGAGTACCACACGAGGCCTGCGGCTTTTGACGATGAGATACCCCTGGGGTACAAAGTATCCGATATGTTTCCGGGATCACTGCAAAAGCTACAGCTTTTGCACGTGAAGAAAGAATCTCTGAAGGATCTGAAGCACCTTGCTGGAAATGCCAGCTATCGATTGCCGTCTTTGAAACTCATTCATATCAGTTTCGCAGACGGCATAGACAAGAGAGATGTAGGGTACAACCGCATAGATGACATCACGGTGGCGTTGCAATCGGCTGGCATGAGCGTGCTCTGGGACACAAATCATGTCAGCGAAAAGCCGTTAGAACCTATTCCAGGCGGCGTAACTGCACTTACGTCGTTCCAAGTATCTTCAGCAACGGCAGGTATCGATAAATTAGCTTTGTGATGGTCCAATTGAAACTTCTTGTGTAGTGTAGGCAATCTCAAATAATCCGGAGGACGAAGTTTACCTTATGATTTGGTCAACAGAATACAGGCCAAAATTTCAGTGAAGACACTTTGACAAATATCTTCACTGATCGGTTACCGCCAGATTCCCCCTTGTCTGGCCACACCACGGAGCGCCGGAAAGGCTCCCAGACGAACATGCGTCGATGTCCCAGAACCTTGAGTTCGGTATCAATTTGATGCAGCTTGCACAGATCGAATCGGGCCGGAAGGCACAGCACTCTTCACCTCAAGACTGGGATAGAAATTGTGCAAGCACATATTCAGTGTTCCATTTTGCCCCTTGTCGACGCCGCAACTGTTAGGCCGCTGAGATCTCGCGAGGCAAACTATAATGGAGGAGTTACAAGAGGCGATTGAACGTTCCACGCACATATCCAGGTGTAACGGACATTGCCAGTTCGGGCCATTTATTTGCTAAAGTTGCGTAGGAAACATCATTCGATGTAGCCAGCCGTGCCGAATGTTTCTCACCAGTCACCCACCGGACATGCCCATAATGAGCGAGCCGAGCAATGGAACTGTCTTGTCGTCGGATATATTGTTCGATTCTTGTCTTAGATCAGCGCCATCAACAGAATGCAGCCGTGATCCAGCAGTTTTGACACATGCGCATGGCGTTTCAACCGCATAGAATAGCCGCCCCTTTCGAAACGGTCTCAAGACTTCGTTTCTCAGCATGTTGTCAACGGTCTTGTGAATGGGGGGACAGGCAGAGCTAGTGCTGAATAGGGTCGAGAGAGCGAGGGACCAGCGTCAATTGAGAGACGTTAGTTGTTCTGGATCATTCCAGACGACGCCATTGGCTGCTAGCTTCCCGAGACATTCTGACTTTTCTATAATGCTGGTGTGCCATGGGCGCCAATGGCGCTGCCTCAGTCGGCGTCATGGTGGTGGTTGAAGCAATCGTGTCTGGTGGAAGCGCCGGAGGGCCACTGCAGAATCATAACCTACTGAGTGCGATTGAGGCGGCAGTGAGACGGCGTAAAGACTCGTGGCATAGCGCAGGGCAGGTTTCAAGTTACACCTGTCCCAACGCGGTTGCGACGCAAACAGTGAGGCAGCCGCTCCTGGGTCTGCGGGGGAGACTGTCTCGAGCTTGTCAATCTCAGCACCTGAGTGAGCAATAAGCACCCAAAGCTACTGCACATTTTACCATCAATAATTACACCGCATCACTTGGTACATGCCTCAGGCGTGAACTGGTCAAACTGTAACCCAGTCCACGATATGTGAGTCCCATCAGGGCATGCGCCGCAGGCGTCGCTGTCATCTTGCCACGTGTAAACCATGAACTTTTACTGTTCCATTGGGATTTAGAATCAATTAAAGGGGCTTAATCCTCTCTTTTTTGATTCCTTCGCTTGGGTAGAATAAGCTATAACACTCCGTCATCTCAAGGATTATATCAGCAACTTCACCGATGCTTGGACGTAGTGTGTGATATGGTAGAGTGAGCTTGCCGCCTGACGGTTCATAGTGGAATGTAGCCTTAACATTGAATAGGAAGAAACAGGAGCTTGTGGTACAAACAGTCGTACATTGAGAAACAATACGACCCGAGGTGGTGTCCCAGGCTAACAGGGGTATTGAGATGGTACTTGTGTCCATGTAATACAGCAACCACAGTGCTGGAATCTGTTCATCTGTTGGATGGTCTTCGGCATCGAGTCTTTGGTGCAACAAGATCTGGCAAGTATTGAGAAACTTTGTCCATGAGTATCCAGGCCCCGCTGGTGTCTGCCACCCTCACCGCCGGGACAGGTTCCGGACCGCTCTCTGACTTGGGTCTGATTGACACAAGGTGAGTGGACTGGTGCAAATACCGGTAGCAATGAAGATGAAATACTTTTGGGATTCTTAGAACGAAGCACGGATATCTGTAAGAAATAAACTTCGAAAAACACGTTGCCCAAGCACGAGTCTCGGCGAAAACCCCGATCCAAGGCAAGGAAATGAGCAAGCCGGAGCATATTGATCTTTGTCTTGGGCGGAAGACCCGAGAGTGGTCAAATATGCCTCGGAGCTTCCGCGGAATGAGAGACAGAAGACCTGATGGCCCTGGCGAGGAAGGTCGCTGTGTGAGGGGGTAGTAGAGGGTAAATTGAGATCACCGACCGTTCCTCCGAAGGAAGGTTACGTGACGGCTTTTTTAATGCCACTCGATGTCGCGTTTTTGATAAATTCCAGAAACGTGTCATATGTCGTGAAAGCTGTCGTTCAGACTGACGTTGAAAGATCGGCAATCCATCTCGATCCTACCATCGCCTGAATTCTTCAGCGCTAGTGCAGAGAGATGCATAATTGCCGCGTTTGTTTTGGAAAGATCTCAGACCAACTGATTGCAGCATCGTGCAGGAACAGGCCCCCGGTGGGCTTGTCCGTGTAACCCCACGAGTTCCCCCCCCCCCCTCCCCTAGCTCGACAATGTCTCTTAGCCTGACCCGTCTCTCACGTATTTTCTTCCTTCCAATCCTGTCTGTTCCCGTGTGACCCATTTGACAACATGGCTCGGGCATTACCAAGGGCCCGTCAATGACGAGATACTGATTGCGTCGAAGGACTGACAGCTGGCAGCGTTCTGCTAGCATGTATGTTCAATCAAATCCTATCAAGCTCGGCTTCGTTAACCCATTTCCGACAGAAAGTAATCTTCTGTACTAAGAATTCTAGCTCACGCCGAGTATCGTTTCCTGAGGCCAAGCGGTGCAGTACATAACCAGCCACAATATCCGCAGTGACAGATAACAGGCGACCACTATCGCGTGTAGGCGAGACTATCCAGACACGCGAGACAACGGCTGCCACCACCCATACTTCCATGCCCCGAGCCACTGGCCGTCTTGTGAGACTTCGACAAGCCGGCACTTTGCTACCCCCTACCCTCCTCCTCCTCCTCCTCCTCCAGCAGAGCAGGGATCAGCTCGGTCATCTTCGACCCTTGACAGAATCGCGAGGGGCGAAGTAGAGACCCAAGCAACCGAATGTCTCGGAGACCTGCGGGCTCATATTGCCCAGCACAACTACCGACATTCGCTTCCGACTCCAAGACCCAGGTCCTCGGCAACATCTTAACTAGAACTATGGAATTAAGAATGGCGGATGCATCTACTTCTGCTATATAGCACGTCGATGTCCCGCTCACTCACCAGGCAATCATCAACACGCTGAGAAGGTTGTCACATTCCCCCTCCTTTCCGCTTCCCGGCCTGTGTTACAACTCATCCCGGAACTCTTGCAACCCTACAACTGGAGCTCGACGGCCAAGAACACCCATCTTTCTACAATGTTTGACCCCAAGGACCCCTCGATGTCACCCATCATGGAGTCGCAATCATTCCCCAGCTCCCGGGCATCCACCCTGGCCCCAAGTAACGGTAGCATCTCCGATATGGAAAAGGAAACAGGCACTTCAAGCGCTGCGGCCTCAATCCAAGATCTCAAGATTGAGCACATAGCTCTACCTAAAACTGCAGCAGCAGATTCCCCCTTGAATTCAACCTCCCTTAACAGGAGTACCAAATCAAGCGACGAAGTAATACCCGATTACCCGACGGGGATGAAACTTGGATTGATAGTTCTGGCACTCTGCCTTAGTGTCTTCGTCATGGCCCTAGGTAAGTGACCTACGACACCGGTCGGAAGATGAATCCGCTGAACAAGAGCGTCAGATAACTCAATCATCGCGACTGCGATTCCGCGTATAACCGATGAATTCAACAGTTTGAACGACGTGGGTTGGTACGGAAGCGCGTATCTCCTGACGTCGGCTTCCTTCATGCTGCTCTTCGGCAAGCTGTTCACCTTCTTCAGCATCAAATGGTTTTATCTCCTGGCCATCGCCCTCTTCGAGCTCGGTAGTCTTATATGTGGCACCGCTCCCAGCAGTGTTGCGCTGATTATTGGTCGCGCTATTGCTGGTATTGGGGGAGCTGGCATCTATGTCGGATCGCTTATTATTCTTACCTACAGCGTGCCGCTGGAGAAGCGCCCGATCTACACGAGTTTTGTCAGTAGCATGTGGGGGATCTCCAATGTCGCTGGGCCTCTCCTCGGTGGTCTGTTTACCGATAGCCTATCATGGCGTTGGTGCTTTCTCGTGAATCTCCCCATCGTAAGTAGCGTATAACCAGATGCAAATTATCTTTGCTGACAAGACGAAGGGTGCTGTCACTGTTCTGGTGATCCTCATCTTCTTCCCCGATCCTGTCCGAAAAGTGAAAAAGAAAGGCTGGCGCACGCGCTTGATTCAAATGGATCCCATCGGCAACCTTCTCTTCATGCCAGCCATCATCTGTCTCCTACTTGCCTTGCACTGGGGCGGCGTCACGTACTCCTGGAAGTCATCACGAATCATTGCCCTTCTGTTCATCTTCGGGACGGCAATGACATCTTTCATCTACATCCAGTATCGCAATCAAGACAACGCCACGGTTCCTCCACGCATCTTTCGGAAACGCAGCGTCTGGTCTTCGGCTTTCTATGCTTTCAACCTAGGTGCTGCTTTTCTTCTATCCGTTTACTTCCTGCCCATCTGGTTTCAGTCGGTCAAAGGAGCTTCTGCAGTCAAATCCGGCGTCATGAATCTTCCCATGCTTGGTGGTGTCGTTATCTTCTCCTTGGTCGCTGGAGCTCTTGTCACTCTATGGGGCTACTACACCCCGTGGATGATACTCGGTTCAACGCTCATGGCTATCGGCTATGGTTTGGTCTCAACATTCAGGCCAGATACTCCTGCGGGCCTCTGGATCGGCTTTCAAATCATCGCAGGTACCGGCGTAGGCTTCGGCATGCAGCAGCCCCTGATGGCGGTCCAGGTTGTCCTCGATGCGGCCGATGTACCAACGGGGACTGCGATCATCATCTTCTCACAGACGATCGGCGGAGCTATTTTCGTCACTATCGGTCAGATGGCATTTACCAACAAGCTCGTCGACA